ATTGCCCCCTGGTGGCTGGCTGCAGTATGGGTTATAAAGCTTGTCTCCGTAGCAGATGGGTCATGGACCCAACTAGAAAAAAAATCAAAGTAAACAGCAAAGTACATTTTTCACAAAAATGGGTTTGGTCATTTAAGGTTGTTCTTACCACACTGACATATGTTCAAGTGTTTCTGGTTAGTTTGGTTTTGATTAGTTATTCGATGCTATAAAAACAGGGTTAAACATTTCCAAGATTGCCAGCTGAGTCTGACTCGTGTAAACACGTCTCCTCTCTAAGATCATCACTGCGCAGATCCAGGCCCCAAACATCATCAAAAAAACAAAATGGCAGCACCTGAACTGTGAGATTTCAGCCACATTTTTGTAAAACAGGAGGAAGTGGAGACATGTAGTCCATCTTTATGAAACACGATGTAATAAAAACACTGGAATGAACTGTTCTATCATAATTATAAATACAAATACAAATAAAAATACAAATCCGACTAGGTAAGAGGCTGCGTCTAATTCACTTTAAAATTAAGTCTGAGAAGAAAAACACAAAAAAAGGACGACCACTTTAGCTGTAACGCATTTCAGACCAACTTGTTTCCTGTAAACCTCTGCCTGAAACTGTGTCTGTTCTGCAGAGGGAACACGCAGCAGATGTTGAAAACAGGAAAAACACAATTTAGCTGTCGCCCTGCATGTCTCGGTGAGGACTGCTTTCATTAAAATTTCACAAAACAAAAATTAAAGTCAGGGCATGTAAGAAACAACAAATTGATTGTGAAAGGAAAAGGTTCAGGGACAAAACTGAGGCTTCTAATTCTAAGGCTTCTCGTGTTAGACGTATGTGTACATTTGTCCACAATCTTTTTTTTTCCTGTAATGTTGTAATGTGCATAATATTAAAGACATATTTCAGCCTAATACAATAAAAATAATTCAGTGCAACAACAACAAGGAAACAAGCTCTGTGTATTATCAGTCCCCTGAGGGTTTCTATATGAAGTGTTAACAGTCTGTTACTCTTGGTTGTTGTGGTCCTTTCAAACCATAAATGTCCTCAGGCCATCAACTATCAACAGGAATGTATTTCCGGAGATTAGTTTGCACCTCTGGGTCATTTTAAACCAAATAACTGCCCACAATTATGCTTTCCTAATTATGATTATTCCATGATTACATTACGGAGCTCCCATGCTGTCGCAAACACAACGTGGTCTCCTGGCTACTGACGGAGGGATGTGATGGTGTCACCGAAAGCAATTAAAAAGCCATCAGACGAAGCTGCAAAGAAAACATTTCCTATTTGATTGCAAACTTAACCACTGGCCTGAGTCGGGCCTCTCAGATGTTATTGCTCTCTGCAGGCAAGGTGTTGTTATTCCCCGGTGGTGTCGGATGCTAAAGTGGGCTCAGTAATGACCACTAAAAGCACTTTGCGCTGCTGTTTTCAGAGACGAGCACACCAGGAGCGGTCCACGCTACTTGTCATTGTTCGCACAAACTCTCCAGGGGATCTGGTAAATTTTAAATGCATCATTTTTTTCTCCAGTGATGTGGGGAGACAGGGGCGGGTGTGCAGGGAGGGCTAGGATTGTCCCTCCCTGGAATCAGTCACCCCTCAATTATGGCCACTCAAAATAATCTTTGTTGTTCTCATCACAATAACATTCTACGTTTCTTTTTCTGGAGTTGAAGTAATTGTTACATTCTTTGATGTTCATTTTGCAATAAATCAAGATTCTGCCAAGTGCAGCTTCTAAAGTGGATTCATTCTGTCTAATTTTTCAAAGTGGACCATCCGCAGTTGCTAAATGACTTGTTTGAGCCGGGCTCAGACTACAGGAATTTCCAGACGATTTAACCCCAGGAATCTGAGTAGAAACATGATTTGTAAAATTGGTCAGGACGGGGATTCGGCCCAGATGATCCGGTTGTGTGACGGGTCACACAATCAGTCTACAGCTAACGTCAGCTAGCATGGTACTGTACTTTTGTCTCACCAAAATAATAAATAACCTGCGTTAGACTGGACTAGGCTTCGGCTTTCGTTAATAAACATTACAGCAAGTTGTGGCTGATCTCAATCATTTTAATTTAAAGAGTCAAAGCAGATAAACTGTTAAGATTTTCCCCAATAAGCAACTGTAAGCAACTGTGAGTGAGGTTTGAACTTCCTGTTTTACTTTATGTTGCTCTACATACAGTTTTTCTAGTTTTGTGATTGGCTGCGACACCGTAATGTGTTTTACATCCTCGCCTCTCTTGTGTATCTTGCTCCCTGTCCTTCATCAGTATTTCTCTCTGCTCCTACCTTGTGATTCTGTTCCATAGAATTTCTCAGAGCATTTTTTACTTTGGATTTTCTGTTTGCCTGTGATACAAACCAGAGCAACCGGTTTTTTCCCACTGAATTTTTCCACTTCACCTTCTCGTCTTTGTTCTGTGTTATTATTCTGAGATGTGAAAATCTAACCTTCAACAGAATCACCTAGTCTGGTTCTTTCTGGAGTTAGTGAACTCCAACACACACATTTTTATTCACAAATGAACTCTGTAGTGTTTCAGTGTCTGACTCTGAATCTGCAGACATTGTCCATATCTGCCTTAAAACACATGAAGCATGAGAAATCGTCTACATGATATACCTTCAATTCGAATGGTATCCCGCTGGTTTAAACGAGGAATAGCGCCTGGGAAAAGTGGGCAGGTTAAGTAGATAGAAACTCCATCAACACGCTGACCAGAGAATTCTCTGGACAAATACCAGCTTTATTCACACATGGCTTTGATCGGACATTACACAGACTTTATAGTAGGAGGCTGCCGGAGTAAAGTCTGTTTAATGTCTGGTTCAATTGATTCCACAGCTCCTCTGGGTAACGTCTAGACAAGTTCAAAGTTGCAATGCATATATGAAAATGGCTTTAACTGACACATTATGGCTTGTTTGTTGCATCCATACAGGAAACTGAAGTTTGAAGACAGGAAAGTTGGTTCACCTCAGAAAATTACTGCACCAAAAAAGTAGTCTGGTCCATAAATACAACCTCTGGAGGCTTAGTGTTTCACCTTCCTTTTAATTCTTTATGCTAAGCTAACATGCTCCTGGCTGTTGTTAATTGGCAGATATAACAATTACATCAGTTTTATTATCCTGTTATTGGCAAGAGTTTGAATGAGTGCATTCCCCAAAACGCCAAAGTGTAACTTCAGCTCCCTTTTGGAAGATGGACTGAAGATAATTTAAGAGGAGGTGCATTATTATATGATGAGTATGTTTTGTGAATATTTGGGTAAGTGTCTTTCAATTCAGTTTCATATCCTGTTGTACTTTATTTCTTTATTTCTCCAAGAGTTTGATTTGAAAATTGAAGCATGTACTATGGAAGTGATTGAAAACTTTGCATTTCTTTGAGATATTTACAAATATAAATAAGTATACATGCATATCAATACAAGATATATAGTACACCCACATACACAGTGCATAGAAAGCGCTCTCCTCCACACAGCTTGTCGCCCCACCCATTCAAAACGCTCTAGACAGGACCCTGAAAGGATTATTGTGTAAAAGCTCTCAACTTAAATAAATCCTACTTTCTCCACAGAATATAGCACTTAGCTCATGCCCCAGTAGTACTTCCTAACATATCCACTTTTTAGGGGTTAAAGGGATTCAGAGACGCGGTTCACACAGCCCCCACCCCCCCCAATTCTGCAGTTTGATGCCTGAGCAGGAAAAATATTTGGATCAATGTGTGTGTATATGACCGTGAGTGTATTTAAGTGAATGTAGCATCAATAAAACCCAGCAGGCTACAGTCACCATCAGGGTCTTGGAAGTAAGCTCCGAGGCCCAGCAGGCGGGTCACATAACAACCCTGAACATCTGTGTGAAGAGACTGAGGATCAGATTAACCACAAGCTACGACGGACGTGACACAAACACATGCAAACTGCAAAAACACTCATCCGTGTGTTGATGAACCTGATTTTCATGCTCTTTGGATAATCAGCTCGGAGGAAGGAGATCGCCCGTAGCAACAGTGGGGGTGACGGCGTCAGCAGCTGAGCTCGGGCACCTGTCACCTCCCTTAGAAACGGTTACGTCTCGGGTTGTGTAAGTCAGACCGACCACCCTGAGGGGACAGGTCCCTTCAGTACATGATCACAACCGGGGAAACCTCATTAGGCCGCTCCTGTGTGGCAGCGTCTCCCTGGCAGAGTGAAACACTTCACTGGGAAATGCTTACTGTGCACTTAGAGGTGACAGGGATAATGTGGGCCATGTACTTGTTACTAGTCTGTGCATCATTTGCACGCTTCAGCTCTAAAATAAGATTTGTCACAAACCAAGATGTGGATTGAGGCTGAGGCCCTGAGCTGCAATGGTCCTGAGGTTTGTGATTTCTAATTGACTGCTCACAAATCCCTCCCAAGACGTCAGTTGTCCAGTCAGAGCTCAGCTTCCTGCACACGAAGCTTAAGTGAGTGTTACTAAGGATATAAAGTTCGGTGGGTGGCGTCTCTTCTCTCGGCTTTTCATAATCCAAAACATACAAACAGCAAAAGTTTCAAGAACTGACTTATCAGCAGGTTTGTTGTTGTTGTTTCAAGCTACAACCACGTGTGGGGTAACAACAAAACAGGCAACAGGAAAAAAATAAAATCAAACAAAACAACTTTTACATTTCAAGTTCATGTGCCAGCAAAGCTTCATGGGTAACATCAGCAACCGGATCCTATGCGGGGACGTTTGTTCTCCAGCTGCCAACAACTTAAATAAATAAAAATTCAACACGCTACAAATATGAGTATTAGAGCTCGGAGTTCTCAGCAGCAGAACACGGAGCTACACCTTTTGTCAATATTAGCAGCTGTAGCTCGTTAGCTTGGATTGATTGCTCAGTTCACAGCAGTGGAACCTCAGGTGCAACAGGTAATTCATTCAGATTCACACAGCAGCATCACAGACCAACGAGACAAAAATGGTGGACAGCACCTACCTGTGGAGAGTGTGGAGTCCCGGTGTCCGTCCGCTCCTCCATCACTTGTGTTCCTTAAATCCACCAGCGGGAACCGCTCACTTGAATCCATAATAAAGTTGTGACTTCTGCTTTTTGCTTCTTTCCAAAAATGAATCCAGAAAACCCCTCGACAGCTGTTTGCCTGATGTTTGAATTAGCAGCTAGCTTAGCGGCTAAAAACAGTTTTGGAGGCCACACGCAGCAAAGTATCTCGTGTTAAAGATAAAATATCATGTCGGGGGAAGTTGAGTCACTGATAGAGCAGTTAGCATGAGGTTATTATACATGTCGGGTTTGTTTGTGAGCAGTTTTTCTCCCGGCATGCCTCCATCATGCTCTCGTGCCACCTGGGCTGACTGACTGGAGAGACTCAAACCCCTGGAAACAGGCAAGGGAAACCCCGTGTCTCAGCGCCGGCCTCCTGGATATACAGGCCTTCTTCTTTTTGGCCCCACCCACTACAGCGTCATCAAAACTTGATTGGTTGGAATTAACAAACACCTGCGCTAGTGAGCAGCTAAGCTAAAGCTAACACAGTTTTTAATTAATACACCACTAATCATCGCTATAATAAGTTAAATAGCAAGTTCATCCTTTCACAGGTTTCCTGAATTATAACTTGTAATAATTCAGATTGAAGTAATAAATAAATCAAGGACACACTGCTTCAATGTTAATTAGAAAATGTAGCCGTATTAACCTACAATTATTATTATTGTTATTAATGTCGTAGACTCTAAGACCCATTAGTGAATTGGCAGCTAGATAATTGAGGTTGATGGAGGCAACAGCTAGAAAGTATCATTTTGTTACAAACCTCAATTTGCTATTTGCAGATTGTATTTGCAGTGACCCTCGATGTATAATCACAGAGTTCAGAGTTACACAACAGATAGCAATTACAACTGCAATTATGATTTTTTTATTTTATTTGGCAGATTAAATAAATCCAGTGTTATGCTTCGTTTAGGTAATCATTGTTTTTTCTCTGCACCAGGGCATATTTGTGACTGGGCCTTTTTTCTTGACTGACAGATACTATTCTCTACAGGAGCATGGTGTGCACGCTTTTGATGATTTCTGATGCAGGGGGAAGTTGTAGCAGCTTTCATGGGCGGCAGACATCTCCGCACAGTCGTTTTCACACAGCCCTGAAGAAAAGTTTTTCCGAGGTGTCAGGCCGTTCAGAGGAAAACAACAGCAACAAGCAGCATCTATCAACTGACAAGTTGACAAGCGGCTATTAAACCCCGCTGAAACTGTCGCAGCACCAAAAATAGTCAGACGGAGCGAGGAGAAATGATCTAAATGCTGATGATGGAAACATAAAAAAGAGAACTCACGCAAAAAAAACTCACAAAAGAGCCATTTACTGATGTTACATCTCGAAAGGACAAATGTTCCTGTAATCAGGCAAGAGGTTGTTTTTTTCCCAGTGACAGTAAAGAGATTGACTTTAGCAGCCGCGACCGTCTATCAGTCATAATGAAAAGAAAACATTTCCAGACTGAAAGCCAATCAGCCATTTCTCATCTTGAGCGACAGACCGGAGCTCACAGCACCCTTGAAATACAACCTCGAAGCATTAACTGAAATAACCATCCGTCTGTTTACCTTGACCCCGTGTGCAACCTTAAACCATTAAACACCTCCCGCGTGAGTCAGAGATGAGATGATTACCATCTCGCCTTAATTTGCCATTTCAACACGAGACAGACGTCAGAAAGAGCAGTAAGGTGCAATCACCCTTATCTCGTGTGCGAGCGAGCCTCCTTTGATTGCCACACAGGGAAACTCATTCTCAGAATATACAGCGAGGTAATTGGGCGATGAATTACTTTTTTTGCATCAGCCCCACTCAATAACATTGATTCTGATGTAGTGATATATTATCTCTCCTTAGGCGACAGACTAATTAATGTCCAAAATCACATTCAATGGACAACAAGCGTTTATGAAGACTGAAAACAACCAAACTTCAGGATATTCAATATATATTTAAAATCTTTCAAACTGTGTGAGGTTCAGGCTTCAACAAGTGAATATGTGAAGTCACGCTTCTGAGTTTGAATTGTGAGCGCTGTCTTTCCCTATAGGGGAGAAATAAATGAGTTTCACATCAAGTAATGCAATCGGCCGCGGTTAAACCCAGATCTCCAAAAATGTGATTACATCAGCCATAATTGAGTAGAGACACGGCTACCTTCAATTATACTGGTGGGAATAAAGTTGGAGATCGATGGAGAAATAGATGTTAAAATGGAAGAGACAGATAATTTAAAGCACAGGAAAGACACACAGAGTATGTTTACATTAACTTAGAAAAAAATACCAGTCAACAAGAAAGAAAAGAGGACAATCTTTATTTGAATCTTCCAAACCTGTATTAAAGTGTGACGACACTCTCGATTCAAAGCCAAAGAGGACGTTTGGCAGAGAGCGGTAGGCAACTACAAAGACCAGAAGGCAAGATGAGGGCGAGGTTTTCCTTTAGTGCAGATTCACAGTAATAATACAGATAAACTCTGTATGTTAAATATAACAGGTGTGCTTAGGTTGAGGCGCCTAAATTGTTCAAGTTACAAGATTTACTGAGCTGCAAAAGCACAATGGAATGGAGCGACAACGGAAAACAAAACCTGAAAGCATCGTGTTTCTCAGCTTCACTTTGCTAAAAGGTTCAAACATGGCTGCGTACGAGAGCAGGGGTGAGGAAACTCTTCAGCCTGCGAGCAAATTCATAATTTAAAAAAAAAAGAACAGATTTTGGCTGAATTAATTCAGGGTGATGATTCATGTTCCGTTTCATGGCAACCGTCGAGAAAATAAAAGAAGACGTGGAGTTAGACGTCCTACTTTCCAAAAGAAAACTGATTTTTTTTTTGGAGGGAGGGGTAGTAAAGGACAAGCCACTTCATCTAGTTTCCAGGGACGTCCTCACACTGATGACGAATGCCAATCAGGGGTGTTATTACAGGTAAATGTCATGAGTTGCAAGGACAAATGCGATTGGACGATGTAAATGCTTTTTGGCGGAGTTTGGGTGCACAATCCTGACAGAGACGATATTATATAAATCTAAATGGTCCTCGATAGGGAAAAGGTTCCCCACCCCTGCATTTTCCCCACCTTAGCTTTACTCAACGACAGGAGAAACAGCTCAAAACATTCATTGCAATCTCTTAACTCAAGGTTGACTTGATAGGAAGAACTACAAAGAGGTCCTTGAGTGGAAATGACTCTGCAGCTACTGTTCCAGAGGTCAAGGATGATTTTTTACGCTCATTCATCTCCGTATATTGTTGTTTCCTTGGAAGAAACGCTTTTTTCTTTACTCTCCTTTAATGTTTCATCCCTTTCTTAACTCAAACATCCTTGGAGATTTGTGCGTTTCCTATAATGTGTGTATGTTTCAAATTAATGCTGTGGAACAAATGAGCAACGTGCGTACTGAGCTCAGTCTTTAGAGAAATAGTTCAAGGTTCAGGTAAATGTTTTTTCTTTGACTCACATTCTAAGATCGATGTTTGATTCTTGATGACACTTCAGGTTTTAAACAGATAAAGGAGGAAGGTTTCATTCACCCTTTTCTCCAGTTTCCAGTTTTAATGCTAAGCTAAGCTTCCTGTTTACTGCGCATGGCATGACAGTAATATTAGATCTCAACAGAAAGAGAGAACAAGCATATTTACCAAAATGTTGAACCACTTCTTTAAAGTAATCACATCTCTCTTCATTTGGAGCGATGGGCTCCAGCACGATCACGTCGGCCGAACATGGAAACAAAGAGGTTTCTACAGTGTTTGAGTTTTGACTGTGCTTATCTATAGTTTGAAGTGGGCTGGGCTGTAAAGAAAAATAAAGGCAACGTGAAGTATTTACTTGCACCAATTAAGAATTAAATCTAACAGCAATCGTTGTAGAGTCGAGTTTTGTTGCCACGGAAACCCTGCTGTAAATCAAATCCGGAGTTTTTGAGAGTTGTATTAACTTTATACATAATAAGAAGTAAGGAAACATGTTTTCAGGCGCTTTATTTTACAAGAACAGCCAATGAAGCCCCACTGGACCCCAAATCCAACAAGGTGCACCGTGTACTTCTTATAAAAATGGTATCCGACTCGGTGTAGAAGATATTACGAACACCTTTTTTTTTACAATGTAGGCGGCCAGGTGAATTCAGGGGGAAGCAATAACCCCAGCTTGATTTCAGCTTTTACATAAACTTTAGCCACAAGGGCATGGAAAGAGGAGAGGGGAGGATGTAAGAGCCTTTTGGCCGACTAACTATAGCAGATTTTTACAAAAAGAAAAAAAGAGAAGAAACTCAGTAGTAGGAAGACAGTCCTCATATTTTATAAGCTTAAATCTACGTCTCAGTGCATTGGGATGTAAACTTCAACCTGCCTTGTAAATTCAATATAGAAAGCAGTGATGGAGGACAGATTGAAATATGGAAACAGACAGAGCCAGTCCATCTGAGGAATATGAGTTGTTAAGAGCCACAGGAGCCACTGATGCATGTTATGGGAGTCTGCTGCTTGATAGGCACAGTCCACATATACTAAGATTTTCTAGCAGGTTTTTATGTCAGGGAGTTGAAATGGGTCAGAATCAGACGGATTGATACCAATTAGCATCAACCGTCTACGTAAATGGACCCTAACAGGGGGCTGGCGTGAGGAGTGAGTGGAAATGAGTGACTGTCTCGGCACTTTGCACCCCCTAGAAAAACAAGAAGAGGAAATATTTTCAGGCAGTAACAGACAATGAAAGAAAATAAAAATAAAAGCACAATTCACTTATGGCAGATTTTCCTTCTTGGGCACTTCCTAAGCTTTCTACAAACGTCAATCACTACACTACACTTTGGCTGAGGGGTGGGGGGGGTTGTCAAGTAATAAAACATGTCGTGGTTTATGTTTCGATTCAGTTTGAAGCCGAAATTTCGTTTCTACTACAGAAAGATCAGGATATGAGAATAAAAGGAGGATAGAATAAGTGGTTTCAGAACGATGCCAGAGAAAGGGTCATGCGTCACATGGGGCAGACCACTGATTGGTGGAATCGTAACAAACAAGTGGTACGATTGGTTCACAGTCATCCAATCCTCTCCTGACATTATCATGACAAGAGGTGACCGAGCGTTTTCCATCAAGTCGCCAGAGGAACTCAGGCTCCTGGAATCTTTATGATCACAATCTATTTTCTGCCTTTAGCTTCTGCCATTTCACATTTGACTTTATAATCTATTGTACCTTAAACCTTTAACCCTGTCCACTTTAATGCTTCCATGTTATGTTCTATTTATCCTTCAGTATTCCGTTGCTCTGTGAAGCACTTTGTAACTTTTGTTTTGAAAGGTGACACAGAAATAAAGATAATATTCTGTGTTTATGCTCCGATCTTTAAAAATTGCCGTTAGTTACGATGGCTTCACTGAGCAGCTGACCTCGCACACCGACACGCAGAATTCAAAGACAGGCGTCTGTGCGAGAGGGGCTTTGATGGTAAGTGAGATGAAAAACAAAGAAGCAGAGCAGTATTACATTGATATGTCTTTGAGTTTCATTTCACTGCATTTGACTAGGCCTATCATCCTCTATCCGGCAGGAGCCCCTGTGTTAATCTGTTTTCTTCTCTTCAGGATCCTTCTCTCCCAAATCCTCCTCGTCCTCCTCGTTCTCTCCTTCTTCTGGGCCCTCCAGTTCAGCGGCGCGTTGCCTTTCCTCCTCCTCGTCCTCCTCGTCCTCTTCCTCATCAGTCAGACCTTCCCTCTTGAGCGCATCTATGTCATCCGAACCATCGTCCGACTCAGCTGTGCAGATGCCGTAGCACATCAGGCTAATTACGCCCAGCGGTAGGCCGAACAGGAAGCAGCCCAGCAGCGGAGAGCTGCGAAACACTGACTGTTGGAGAGGAGACGAAGAAAAGGACAAAACGCGTCAGGATGGGAGGAGACAAAAAGGTAAGTTCAACAGGAAAATATTAAAATGATGGTAGAGAGAGATTGGTTAGAACAATATGTGAGCTTCCTTTCACAATTCACTCATTAGCAGAAGAAATTTACTCTGACATGTGTAAGAACAAGATCTCTGGTGTAAATATACAAATGCAATTAAAACCATTTTATCTGAAAACATTAAAATCACTGAAAATCTTGTCTTGTTCCAGTCTGGCAAGTGCCCAGCAGGCTCCAAACCTCAGCACTGGATTCACTACGTGCTTATTTTCTAATTTACTGCAAATTTGTTTGGTAGACCTCACAACTAAAGTTAAAAAATGACTCACCACCAGGCTGGGGTGTGTTAAAGCTGTGATGACAGGGATTACATAGCTGTATATATCACTGATATTTTGCTTTGTGGTCCACACCTCTCGCACGGTCTTTTTAATAGAGGACTGTTTTCACATGGTCGTAAAAACAACTGACCCGTCAGAGGTTTGTGAGTCCAAATAAAGACCTGGACAAAATCAATGTGTTACAATAAAATCGCTGCAATGAGGGGATCCACTCAAAGAGGAGAAATCAAACCAAGCGTAGAGTTCAGCTTTGAATCTACACTGGCTTGTTAGCTGTGCTGCTCCTCTCATTTAATTAAAATCTTTCTGTGCGGAGTTTGCATGTTCTCCCCGGGTCTGTGTGGGTTTACTCCTGCTTCCTCCCACAGTCCAAACACGCAGTTAATTGGAGACTCTAAATTGCCCGAAGGTGTGAATTGTTTGTCTTTGTATGTCAGCCCTGCGATACGCTGGCCACCTATCCAGGGTGTACGCCGGCTCTCGCCCTAATGTCGCCTGGGATTGGCTCCGGCTCCCCTGCAACCCTCAAAGGATAAGTGGTATAGATAATGGATGGAGGGATGTTGGCATCTAAACTCTTAACCAAGAGACATGAAGACACCGGAGCACATTTCAATGAGCCTTGAGGTTTTGCCTCTTCTTTAACTTCACAGTAATAAATAATGATAAAGCAAAAACAACAATGAGCTGACATGAATACATTGTCATTGCTGAATCGATGAAGAACAGGAGCACAGGTTCGTGTCTGGTGCTCTGGGCAAAATATAATGAAGTTGCCATGTGCAGGCTCCCATGTGCACAGTAAATAATGAGTACCTACAGGAAACAGGATGCACACACTGCCTCCACCGTGAGGAAATAGGGGTTAACAGGGGCCCACATTTCTCATGAGTCATTCCAGCTCTGACCTTCTTTCTTAAGTTCACACATTTAACAACAAAAACATAAATAGTTTATCTCAATATCGGTTATTCCTTTCAGCCTGTTCAGCACAGCGGAGCGAGCGTATGACTATTTAATAAACGTCTCACATCTCGCTCAACAGCCAAAGTCCAAAAATCGTGCTTAGGGGCAGATCGAAAAATATTTATGGAAAAAAAAAAAGAAATCGCATACAGGCTTTTATGTTTCTATTAGAGATGCTATGTTTTAATCATTCATTTATTCATTCATTTGCATTATGCCATTAAAGTCGCATTAAAGCCAGTGTGTTCAGATGGCAGGTCGCAAATCATTTGCAGGAACACGGACAGGCAGTAATACTTTGGTATAATTAAATCTATGTCATATAATTGCAGGAAGTCTGTATTATGTTGTACTGTTTGTGTTCTCACTTGTACTGTGCTGAGTTTTAACCTTTCAGCCGTATTACTTTGCCTCAGCAAAGATTTCCGAGTGAGCCGTGTAAGAATGCCGCAGGTTAGGGTTAAAGAACACAAATATCTCAGTATGAAGAAGAGGAGCCATGTGTGAAGAAGACATCAACAAACTAAGAATGAAAACGAGATCTGTTTGCTGTAAACAAACTTTTGAATTTTTGACTTTATATCCTTCCTCCTTCACGCTCTAGCCAGACGCCACCCCTCGTCTGAATGCACCAGATATTGCACTGTTGCTGTGAAGCGTTTGGCCATGACTGTTAATGTCTGAAAACAACTATACTGTGAGTGTGCTGAGAGTAAATCACCACCACCTCACCGAGTTTAAATCGTCAATGTTGTTGACATTGTTATTTACTACATGTATATTGTAAATTTAACTTGGCATCAGCTTAGAAGCCCTAAGGGTCCGCACGTAGTAAATGGAAGTGTCAGGATGTGAAATAGAGTAAAAGCACAGAGCCAACAGGTTGTTCTGGAGCTGATCTGTCGCCTGGTCGTGATTGAAAGCGCCTCTCATTCACATCCATGTCATGAGCCTGCATAGAAAATTTAACATTTTTATGCTGCTGCAAAAACCCACCATCTCTCAGCTCCTGTGGGCAAAACAACAGCCGAGCCACTGAAGGACAACTTTGCAAGTTCTGCTTTAAATGATCTCGGTGACGAATGAGTCATCTGGCCTTAATATAGCAGGATACATCAGAGACAATGTACCTAGAAGGGAGTACTCGACCACAGCTTCTGTCTGCCATTGAGCTGAGAAGGAGAGAAATATTCATGCTCCCTCCAGTCATTGCCACAGGAAGAGGGATGGTAATTGCTGGTGCTCTGTGAAGCTAGATGAGGTGGAGATGGGGAAGCTATGCTAACACAGCTGGCTATGAGCCATTGCGCCTAATGTGGCTGCTCCGTCATGCACCTGTCAGATGTGCATTTAGATACGACTCCAGGGGGCGAGGTGATGGCTGCTGCCTATCTGCTTTGTCCCGTGTCACTGTGAGCAAGACGCTAAATTTAGAGAGAATAGCATCTGCTTTTTCTTACAGGTGTAAGACAAGCCGGACGTCCGTGGATTCCTACTTTTGTGCAGTTGAAATGAATAAAAATTAAATATATACAAGTGCTATTCTTCTACTGTCAAACCTCATCTGACAGCAAAAGAATGAAAACATTTTAATGAAAGTATTTCACTGTGCTTCGAGGTGAAGTATCAGACGTCACGCCACCTTCCATGTCTCTCTGTAAAATAAGTAATTCTCAGTTCTCAACGTCTCAGGGACATTGTTAAGGGCAGGGATTAGCTTCAACCTTGGTTACAGTGCAACTGTGCCAACTGAGCTTCATTACAACTCAGCCATATTTACATTCCTAGCACACCCTTGGTGAAGTAAACACCAGCTCTTCCAAAAGAACCAGCTACTTAGAGTAAAAGTGGGAGGAAAAGCAATGTCAGCCTCCTGACCCTCTCCTCCTCCCTCATCACTCGACCGTCTCCTACTCTGACGCCCGTTTCTCTGCCCTCATTCCGTGTTTACTGCCTGCACTGCATATTCTCACTCGCACACCGAGTCCACTCCTCTGGATGCTGTTTATCTCCCAGAGGAAACGTGCAGGGCGCTCATGCATTTGTTCTGTTGGGAGCAGGCTGCACATATATAGTATTTACCCTAAATGACAAACACAGTCAAGGTGAGGCATGGTGTGGTGGTTCAGCAGTGTCGTAATAACAAATGGTTTCATAACAGAGGTTAAGGGAGACGTGTATTTCATCCCAGCTGTGTAGTAGGTCAGCACTGACAGAGCCACAGAGAATCATCACCATAACGTTTCTCTCACCTCTGCAAAACATATTTGTCATAGTTGTCTCATTGTTTTCGTTTTACAAGCTGCAAATTCCGTGTTGCTCCCTCTCGCTGCTGTCATCAAGGGTTTCAAAGCTAAAGGCTCTGTACATTGAGGCCTATGCAAAGTCAGCAATTAGCTCTTTAATACAGTGGAGAATTTAGCAGCTAAAAAGCCAGATATTCCCCTCAGGAGGTGGTGGAGAACAAAGGGGAAATAAAAAGTGGGAAGAAAAGCAACTCCATATTAATGTTATGTTGCTAGGTGTATTCCCACATCAGCTTTATAGTAGCTGGTGGAGAACAAAACAGAGCTTTAAATACTGAATCTAAATTTGTCATATGGTTAGAAAAGCTTTGCTGTGTTGAATGTTATGTTGCTAGGTGTGTTCCCACATCAGCTTTATATGCAAGTGATGTGTTTACAGCTTGTTGTGGCTAAAGAACCACATGGACCTGTACAAATAACTTCATAAGATTCAGATTGATTTGTGTTCAACTAGTTCGTATTCATGTTTTGTTGATTTGCACTTATAATATAAACTAAATATATATATATAAAAAAATATATCATCCCCTGGTGACCCTAACTTTACGTATAATTGCCCTTGTGAACCATGAATTCTCATCGACTTACCATAATGGTGGATCTGGCATCAAAGGCCACACGTTTGATCCTCTGAATGAAGCCATCACCTCCATATGCCTGCAGGGAGACAGATCGTTTAATGGAGACAGAGGAGCTGCTATTTCAAGTCTCCCCCAGTTTTATATTCACCACCTGTATAGCACACATGCAGGGTTACATCCATTCTTCAGTTCGACATCTACAATTAGTTGAGGACAATCCCTAAACAGCTAAACAATTGTCAACATGTCAATAAAACACTTCTAATAATTTAAGTCTCAGGTGTCCAGTCATGTGTTCAGTGCATCCCAGACATTTTAAATATTATTTCATTAACCGCTTCCCCGCACAAAAGTACCCGGTGTGTTCACTGTCCAGCAGTTCTGCTCAGTCTGAGCTCATTTTCTGGCAAAAGCACCTGGACAGTCGATGAGTGATCTGTCCTGATGCTAATTCATCAGCATGGCCAATTAGTGAGCTCTGACCAAGCAGGACGTCTGTGAAGGAGCTGAGGGTGCGCATGAGATGAGTTTCGTTGAAGCAGCTGTTGCACCGACCTACGCTGTGCTCAGACTGCATAAGTAGATTTTTTTTTAATAGCATGTTGCTTGAGTCCTCTTTTAATTGCAAAAGAGAAAAGGACAAAGGACTTGAAAAAGTGAAGATGGCCTTTGTGCCGCAAGAGCAGATAGTGTGGAATATATTTTAACTCCTTAAAAAACTGCTAGAGAAGTTCCACAGCCTGTCAACTCTTTCCTCCTCTGGCTGGTTCATGCGTGGCTAAACACGTCATCTCTGTACCTGTTCGTGCTTTTTCTGCCCGTTATGGAAGATTTTTTTAAATTCTGCAGTTTTGGTCATGTGTGTGGAAAAAATTCAGCTCGCTGCGTTTCTCTAGAAAAAGAAGAACTCCCTCAAAATCCAACAACACCTAGAATTTTATTTAATGTATTAAATGTATTGCCAGACATGATGTGAAGAAGCTGAGGCTGTCCAGACTTTGGCTGGAGGGAAAGATGCAGAAACATGGAGGTTTCGGTGGCTGTTTATACGGTGGGAGGTGGTTTGTTTTGCGAAGCGAAAAATAGCCCAGACCTTTCGTGGAAAAAAAAAAAAAAGGACAGGACCTCTGGCTGTTTGGCTTACGGTTTCATACATCTGGTGTAGCGTAGTGCTGTGCACGGAATAAAGCGAAGGCATCTCTTTTCCAGATTAGTCGACGCACACTATAATACTGAGTCATGTACTAATCTCGGTGTTTGATTTAGAGGACAGAATTATTGCAGTTAATCTGTTCAGAGGGGACAGTAATATAAAATCTAAACATGTAAGGGGAGATTGGAAAAATACCTCATGTGGTGAAAACATCTTCAGCGAAGAACTTAAAATGTAATGCAACATGCTAGATTAATGGAGACCACCGGTGTGATTACAACGGAACAGCACCAGGGGATGGGGGGAGAGGGCCGCACTGAGCTGCATGTGTGCACAGAAAGCAGGGAGGAGGTAGGAGAGGATTTCGACCTGTGCAGAACCGTTCAAAACGCCGCTGATGAACTGGACCAGCTGCTCCATGGTCTCAATCGGCTCACTGGGCAGGAAGTACTGCTCGTTGGATGTGTTGAGGATGATAACGGAGGGCACCGTCACCTCGCTGAGAAAAAAAAACAACAACAGGAAACACGTTTTTAAATGTTTTTAACCTTCGCACCGTGCACATTATCAAAGTGCATCATTAGATGGTAACAAATAGTAGTTTCTTAAAGAACAAATTGTTACACAGAGAATACAACAATGAGATAAGCAAACCCTTTGTGCTCAGAGCAACATAACTTTTCCCATGGGCATTCTTTCAAAGAGAGGATTTCAGTTTTTTTTTTTTTCTTCCAAGAGGAGAAAGGAAAAATGCGATGCAGCCTGGCCTATTTCAGAGTGGCATTTCTTCTATCTTATATGCAAACAGTGTGCAACTCAGGGGCTTTAAGGGTCTGTGCCGGTCACGGTTAAAGAGACCTTTACAAATTACAGCTGACAAGTGAATCGTGAGGAGTCCAAAGGAAAGCTTTCCTGCATCCATGCTGAGACACCTACAAAACATACACAAAGAGGCCCAGTGATCCAGTGAGCTCTCAGCAGCCCGCTAATTTCCACAAATCAGCTGAGGAATGACAAGCCTCAGCGAGATAACAAACAAGGTCATATAAACAAGCCATCCCTCTTTCACATGTCTCACACAACACCAAAGCGTGGCTTAGATAAAGTATCCCGGTGCTTTGATACACACACAGGCACACAGACACTCCATCACGGCGCTGCACCCTCACATCCCCGCCGTGTTACTCAGCCCGGCAACAAATTGCACACACACGCACACGTATCCATCACCGTCCCGACTCGCCACCCAGCTGCGACCAGGAGTGCAACTGCACTACACCTCACTGCTCGGTCCAGATGAGATTTGCAATAATGTACAGTTTATATACACACACATGCATATACAGACACATTATGAATGCCTGCGTCCATCTGACATTCAGCCTACTCCGACCAGATGGCAACCATTTGAAGTAAATATGGATTAGCCTGTTCACCTCTGTGAGTGGAGACTGCTGGGGGTCTGCTGCCCGTAATGAAGGGTCATATACAGGACTCCATAGAGTTACAGCTGGCAGAAGGCTCACATTTTATAACCTTGCAGAAAACAGCTGCCACACAGAGAGGGTTATTTTGTTTTATCACAAATGTGGCTGGATCATAGATTGATTGTAAAGATGGCGCCTCCACTTCCTCACACTCTCTAGAAATTAAGCCAAAAAAAACAACAACTAACACCCTGGATAGAAACGTCACCATTAGGGGGTGGAGCCACAGTATGGTCCATCAGCAGTCTCAGCTGTCAATCGTGATGTTTGACCCTGTTTAAAAACATGTGACTCATTAAAACCAGATTTTAAGGAAAAGGGAATATTAGAAAATGAATGTCACTAACATGAAGGAGGTGGGGTTAATGACCTGGAAATCTTTTCAAAACTAAATCCTGGAAAAATCTTTTGAATGAATTTAAAAATAGTTCCCCCCGTAGTTTTCTTTGTCTTTGTTCGTATTTTTTCTACTTATTAGCGGGACCACAGCTCATTATCAACGGTTCATTATTTCTTTTTGCGCCGCTTTTATTTCACTTTCTGCTACCTGAAGCATTTTCTAAGCTTTAATTATTGCAAGAGGACTTAATTAAAAACTGTAAACTGTGATAATGATTATCACAGTGTTTTCCAGGAAACCAATTCTGAAAGCATCAGTTGAAACTCTAAAAAAGACCCTGATTATTTTTTTTTTCATAAAAACACATTAAAAACTGAAAAACAATAGACTTTGCAATTGGCATATGTTGTATAGTGAAAATTATTTCCACAGTAAAATTATTAGAGCTTCCACAAAAGCCGGTTAATAAATGAAATGAGCTAATTTTGGCGTTGATGTTTGTGGTCGTTCACCTTCTGTGACTCAAGTGTTCCTCCACACACAAACTTTCCAGTGAGCTCACATCACTTTTACTTTCTCACAGCGCACAATGGATTCTCTATAAAGGGTTAGCTATAATCCTACATTCAAACAGAGGCAGCCTTGGACTTAAGAGTGGTGCTCATGTTGTTTGTGTGTGTTTGTGTATGTATTCATGTGTCTATGTGCCTCTGGTGTAAGCAGGGGCAGCCTTACGCCAGACAGACCGCTGCCAGAACACAGTAATCGCTGTGATGACAGAAAGAGGGATAACAAGCCATCAGATTTATTTCCATGGCCGTCCTGAGGGAGGGGATTAGTGGACATTGACAGGCCAGGATTTCATTCCTCAAAGGAGGGCAATTAATCCTCTGCTACAGCGGCCAAATTCAGTCCTGTAAAACCCGGAGAGATACATATTGTATGTACTCATTCAAAATTAGGAAGGCTAATCATCCCTTTCAACCTTACATGTAAACATCGCCTGTCTCGTTTCGGCCGTGCTCCACGGGTATGTTCATCGAATGTAGTTTTCAAATACGACTGTTCTCACTGACACTCGCTTTTAATTACACCAGAACTTAGTAGCCCAAGTCTGCTATAATCTCCCTCATGCAAACAACAACATGCTCAAATTAAAATAACATCCTGCAGCGGTCTATTACCCTCCCAGATCGTCACACAAACACAAACAACATTATACAAAAGACACACATAATTAGACGTAGTGCGTCGGTAGACACAAAGCAGACATGCCAACTGCCACAGCCCTGCTGGACTGTAACACTAGCTGGGCTCTGTCTAATTAAGAAGTGTGGGATGTCAGTAGAAGGGCCACTCTAAGTATGACACCCCAACAGTCAGCCTCAGCCTGGGCGTGAGGCTACTGCAGTGGAGTCTTGCTGAATCATTAGTGCTGCTCTTTGGCAAACTATTAAAACACACAAGCGTTATAGATTTAATCCATGCACAGCCTTATCTGAAATGTCTCCTTATATTCCTCTCTATCCTTCACACGAGCAGATTTGCAAGATGTTGTTGTTTTTTCTTCAAATGCTTGCGCGTGTGTGTGTGTGCGATGCCAAGAGCACTAAAAGAGAAATGACAGTCTGCCCGGGTAATTGACTTCTCAACAAGAGAGCATCTTTAATGGCGGAGGCAGGCATTACAAGTCAGCGCAGACAGAAGGTAACGTGAGGTAGGAGAATGACATGAGAAGAGAGAGGGAGGCTTGAAATGAGACACTTACCCCATAATGAGGCTGTTAATGTAGTCATTCCCATCCATGTGGCCAAACTGGAAGTCTCTGGAGGTGCAAGACAAATCAGTGGCATGAGAAAGCGAAACGGTGCATCAAAAAACAACACACAATGGAGTAAAATGAGCAGCCCCCCCCCCCCCATCTCTGTGGACTGCATAACCTAGAACAAACTGGGACACAAAAAAAAAACTCTGCACAATAGGACACAAATATGAAACCGCACTGAATGGAAATCGTGTGTGCTCGCCGCGGAAAGCCTGGGATCACTTTTGTCTATCCCCCAAAGCTCCGTCACATGCCGTCTCCGGTTTCTCCTCATCTTTTCCAGCACAGGAAAAGACTCAGGTGATTTATCTAAACGATAAGGCAGGAGGAGGAATTCAATTTATATCTCATTGTACTGCACTGTGTCTGAGCAGAGTGCACTGTGGGAAAGACTAGAGGAGGGGGTTACACAAGTCCAGGGAAGCCAGTGACTTCCACTGAATGACTGATTACCGGGGCCTGTACATACAGACCATATCATATTCATATTGAATCATAGCAGCATCTAGCACATGTGTCTCCTGGGTGCTGAAGAGCAGAGCCTGTGCTTATTTCAATGACGATATATACATTATATATCATATATATATATATATATAATAAATCTAAAATAATTCAGTGTCATGAGATATAAATTATAGACTAGAGAAGTGCTTTATGAATGCAGACAACAGCTCAGACTGGGAATAAAGTTCATCAAAAAGTCAGCTTGTAACTTTCGCTCTGAAGACGGCGGCGCTGTGAGTTACAGATCAGAATTAGTTGGAAAATTATCAACATGCCAAAAGTGATGGAGGGGGGGGTTTGAGACTGAGGCAAAACATGTATGATTTAAAAAAATTCCATTTAACTTTATTATTAATACTTTGCCAATTCAACAACTCCCCGTAAATCCATCCTCCCACTTCCTTGGCTGCTCAGCTCAGTTGGACAACAACTGTACAAACTGATGGAAAGAATGTGCACCACGTTTTTTTTGACAGTTGCTCATAGATTTTGCAACAAGAGCCGATTTTGCCAATGCATTAAAAAAGTCCCCCTGGAAATGAATAAGTGCCCATTTCATTTAACCCTTCATTAACCCTATTAAGTTTATATTCACTCTTTATTCAGCTCCATTTTGATCCAACAACATGGAGAAATACCTGGTCCTCCTGCTTCACTGTGTTCTCCAGCTGTTTTCTAACTGTGTCTGCTGATTAAACAACATTCAGTTCATCAGATGAGAGTAAAGTTTGAGGCCATATGATGAAAACAATAAGCTAAAGCTCTGTAGAGATGAGGGGAAATGATAAGTTGGGATGTTATTAAAAAAGAGGTGCCACACATGTAGAAGACAAAGACGATGTGAACTTGGAAAGTCTGAAAATGGCTTCAGTCGTTAATCAGTCGTAAATGTAAAACTGTTAATGACTTCAGCTTTACGATGTTTGAAATGTTTAAAAAAAAAAAAGGCTGCTCATGTACTCGTTGCTGTAAGTCAAGAATTATTCATGGGAAGAAAAGTTGTGAGTCAAAGGGTTCAGTTCGTGAGGAACCGGCTGACGGGATTCATCCCTGATAAAGATTCATGTCCAGTCTTGCACCAACCTTCTGTGTGTTCACACATATGGTGCATAAACGTCAAGACAGTAATGACTCGTGCAGAATTTCAGCCAAGTTCACACCCAACAACTGACAAAAACAGACTTTCCCACACGTACAATCTGACATGTTGGCATGTGCCCCCCTACCCCCCTTCTCTCACTCACACACACACACGCACACACGCTAACTCCCCTCTCAGATCTGAGATTTGCATTCACCGCTCTGTCAAAAACGCTACAAATGGTGGGTGAGCTAAATACCACGACATTTATTACTGCATCAAAAGGCGTCGGCTCATTCAAATGTCAGTCACCACCTATAATCTGTTCGACTGTGCTGCCTCCGCCCACCACCGGGGGCGACAGCCGAGACGGGGACTTGTAATTTTAAGTACCGTTTAGGTGTGTCAGAACACTGCAGGCAGCTCTGATCTCAGCGGGGATCTCAAACTCAAACGTCTTCACACAAAAAAAAGAAAGAAAGAAAACAGGACGGTGTAGTGTGAAGGATAGTAGCCTAATTGATGATAGGGATCTGTGTGATTCAATCAGCCCTAATGGGAACGCCTGCAGAGGAAGAAAACGCTTTGATCATTGCAGTTTGAGATACAGCAATTTATCAGATGAACCAAAATGGTGAATGACAGGGGAGCAGCGAGGAATTTAAGCTCAACACAATGAAAATGTGATGCATTCTTTTGTATTAATGGTTATGAGGAAAAGCCTCTTGTTGCGTGATCAGGGGTGCGGGTCACCTTCAGAACAGCAACCTGAGCGATGATTTGAATTCAAGTCACTTCAGCAGAGGACATGTTTACACTGGGCTCTCTCGCTGAACGATAACCTACCAGCTGTGCTCACTAAATCATCCTGACCACTTACATCATCACTTTGTGCCTTAAATGTCAGCTGGTAGCGAAAATGGCCCCACCGTAGTTACGGAAATACTCAATCTAAATGCATTTCCTGCGCTTCCACCTGGTGCCTTGTCAAATCAGGTCCTCTCCCGCGAGAGAACAGGTCGAACAAGACAGTACGCTACATAAACATCTCATCTCCGATTGTTATTGCACAACTGAAGTGGGAGAAAACAGAAAATTATGCATTGATACAAGCGGAGCTGAGTTTTTGACTGACAGCTGAAAAGAACACCTATATTTGGAAGCTGACATTCTGCATAATTACCTTTCAACTGAACCTCAACAAAAACAGACGTGCCCTGACAAAGGTAGAAACTTGCTTGAGAATAGAGGCAGCGTTCCCCAGTGAAAGCACCATCCCAGAATAAATGTATAAATTGGATATTCATCTTTGACCTCATCACATATCCATGCCTTACCTGTTAAAAAGCTCTCTGTACTCCTTCGCCACCCTCTGAATCAAGCCCTTTAATCTAAAAGCAAATGAGAAGAGAGTGAAATACCACATGAGTCGGAGTCGAACATTTTTTTTTTCGGCCGGGGGCTGCAATTTGTGGGAAGATCCAAACAATGACAGCGTGTCTTATCTTTATCTGAAAGCCGCACACTTAAGTACAACTATTGTGGCGAGCGTGGGAGTGTATGGGAGTAATCTACATGGAGCCGTGCTTTTTAATTTCAGTGCTCTTTGTACCTGCCGCTCTTCTCTGTGGGGTCCTTCTCATCGATGACTGCGATCGCCACCAATTTGCCTGGGGTGAGCAGACAGGGATTACAAATCACAGTCAGACGCACAAAAAGAGGGAGAGAAGACAATGGGAGGCAGATAAGAGGCTCCGGAGGAGACGCATCACCTCTCGACGGGAACAGAGAGCTCTTTATTCTTTCATCGCATTGAACTCGCTTCGGCTTTTTCAACTTGGTTGAACAGGAAACAAGTGGTCACTTTCTGGTAGAGGAGCTATTCTGGTGCCACACAAAACCCATGACATGACAAATAGGTCCACTTAAATAAAAACAAAAAACTTGCACAACTTAAAAGGTCTGTTGTTCAGACTTGCATGATTTGAGGCAAGAAACCCCTCGTTGCTCGGTTGGGAGTGCCAGTCTGCCCCCTGGTGGTCAGTCCCGGCGGTTGTATAGCAAGGTTAATGTTAGGTGAAGACAGACGACAGCTTGGCACCATGAAGGGAAAATAGTTTACATACATCTAGTGGGCCAGAGTGGAAAAGGAAGATGCAGTTAATCCTTGAAAGGATTATAGCTTCTGTAATGGACAATATGTACCTCAACATGGCTGCATACATTTGTGGTTATTGGGAATAAAAGGGAAAAATGTTTATTCTACATTATTTCACTGCAGTGGCTCTTCATGGGAATACAACCTGTCGAAATGTGCATAATTAATTCTGTGGATTCTAACTCAGATTCCACTGTTGATGCAGCTCAATTTACTACAGTCTCGGATAATCAGGATTGCATAATCATTATTGTCAGGAAAGAGCCACTCTGCTTTCCTACAGAACATTTAGTATAAATCAACCCATTTGTTTTCAATGTTTTGGGGGAAAATGACAATTCAAGGTTAAAAAAAAGTTAAATTATTGAAAATTAACCATTTATTCATGCTTTTGAGATCCGTTGGTTCAGTACGAACAACATTTGGGTTGTCAGGATGTTATAAATACCAATAAACTACTGAAATATTTATGCATTTTCACCTTTGCTGCAAATCACTCGATTTACTCCCTCTCTCTGCATTTACTGTCTTCATTACTGCTGTCAAATAATCAGTCCAGGATCAGTATCAGACTGAAGATCTTGCTTCATGGTTTGACCTCAGAATACATTTCTGAATCACCGAGTGCTCTCCAGCTTTATGCCTGTAAAAGCATTAAGCCTAGAAGCTCAACTTCTTCTAGTAAAAGCTTAAAGAAGGAGCTATTAGCTTTTGTGAGGAGATGTAATAAAATTTACAAGGATGCAGGAGAGTAGAGCATAGGAGGAGCGAGACAAAGCTCCAGTTGCCTGATCAACAAACAAAGGACCTGATGACCTCCGACAGTGACCGAGCTAAAAATTTCAAGAACCATGTATTATTCGTTTTGCTCTGAAGTCTAAAAGGCAAAGTACCTCAGGCATTTTTAATACTATTGATCGTCTTATAAACTCTGTCATTTTTAATCAGGCTGGATCCTGTAAGTTTTTAAACTTTTTAATTTATAAAGTAAATGAGATTATATCAAAGATCAAGGCTCCACGTCTTCTATTAATGCCCCTTGTCCCAATCGTTACTCTCCCAAAACACATTTATAGACATTGTGTCTCACCTCAAACGATCATCTGTAGATATTAAACCTCCTGAATTCATCCACAGCGTATTAGATGCCATCGCCCCCTGGTTTCTCACTGTAATTAAACTGTCACTTTCCTCTGCTGGTGTCCTTGACGATGTAAAAAACTGGCATAGGCCCAGACTTTTAAAGAGTAACAGCAATAAAAACCTCATATTATTAGACCTGTCTGCAGCCTTTGTTACAACCAATCACAACATCATTACATTTCAAGACCAGGTTGGTTTATCTGTCTTAAAGTGGTTCAACTTCTACTTCTAGTTCTAAGTGCCAATGTTTTGTTTTGATGTGCCTCAGGGCTCAATTTCAGGACCAATTGTTTTTTATCCCTTTAGTGAGATAGCTCATTCAATAACATCGACTAGCATTCTACGCTAATGACACACATAGATTCCCAGGTAAAGTCTGGAACCCCCCCCCCATCAGCTCGTCCACCATAAAGGAACGTGAAAGTCAAATAAACAATAATACATCATACATGCTTTAATTTCCTTACGTTTTAATGACTCTCCTAACTGGCATAACTTGCCCCTTACTCTTATTTGTACATATATTTTTATGGGTTAGCTTCTGAAGATGTTTATTCCATTCCCCTTTCTCCTTTATCCTCATTATTATCCTATTAACAGCCTTCACATATTATATTTCCAGACATCTGCTCAATCATATTTTCTAATCATATACTGTTTATCCAGCTGAAATTGATCGATGACTATGTGTCTTGAGCAAAAGGGTTGTTCATCTTGTGACTATCAGACATACATAAAAGAATGTTTATTCTTATTTTTCTTTCAATTTGCTGCAAATCCTTCACTATTTAGCCCGAGGTATTTAAACATGGGCAAGAAGGACTTAAAATGTGTGTGACGGGGCTTTTACAGCATTAATGTCCCCAAGTAAATGAAATCTGATACTTGATTGAAAAGCCTGTAGAGACGAGTCTTTACACAGTTTTCACTAAGTCACTTTGATAGAAACTCTACCAAGTTGTTTCGACAGACCGAAGCCTCAGACTATGTCGTCTTTAATCAGTCAGACTAAATTAAGATGCTTTACTGACTATTTTAAATGCTACCCACACTCAGCAGTGAATTTGGCATAAATGGGTTAAAACTGAATGTAAGCAGCAACAAATGTGAGCAATATCCAACCGTCGAGGAGCACTGATCTCACTAAACTGCTCATAAAGAGGTAAAATACGGTAGCCAGCATTAGAAAGCTGAGCTTTCTCTGCACCCTGCATCAATTTACTGCTGTTTAAGAGACAGTTTGTATTTCAGTCTCGAGCTTAAATTTCCTGTGGGAGGAAAAGTGCACGTACATCTGAGCGAGTAGAGTAACACGGTCCATCTACGGGGGATGAAAAGTATTTTCTATCAAAGCCCAAATGCACAATTACATTTACTCATTTGATGGACGGTTTTATCCACAGCAACTTACAATACTAAAGCTTCAGTACAGTAGAAGACCTTGAAGTACATACTGTGGTAAATCTGCTCAGTACGTCAAAGTGCAGGAGATCAAGCAAAACATGCAACAAAGGAAGTGCAAGTTAGGAATGTGAAGTGGTTGGAGGTGTGAGGAGCGGGATGGAAGCCCATGAGACCAGCTCTAAAATGTTTGTCCTTTATCTTAAAGCCGGATATTTATGACTGGGAGGGTAAACATCAGGGGGGAAATGTTGGGAATGGGCTGGATGAAGCTATCAAAATGTACACTATTACTTTAAAAGCCCAAAGTATAAAAAAAAGGAAAGAGCAGAAATGAACATCTCATGGATGACAAATATGATGCATACGCCACCTGTTTCTCCAAGCTCATAGAGCGTGAAGCCATCGATCTGCAGGTACCCTTGGAAGCGCTCCTTGTTCACCCACGATGACAAACTACCATCCTCGTACTCTGCAACACGGAGAGAAAGAATCTTTCAGGAGAAGCACAAAACAGCCAATCGACATTCAGCACACGGTTTGTCTATATTAAAAGCAAAGCACAGCAGGGCATTGATGGCTGGACTGTAAGACTATCGCAGAGGTTAGCCCCTGAATGTTCTCTGGGGAATAAAGAGTGGGACACAAGCTGAGCATCTATAAACAGAGGTCAGCTAAACAACAATCAGAAATTATTTAGACAGGGGGGTTGCTTCTGGGTTAATAGCCAGGGAGGCTATTTATCTGGTTGTCAAAAAATAAAATAATTTCCATTCACAGTAGATGCTGTATTTTCTGGTACCATAATGCACCTCTCTTCAAAAAGGTAAGGTTATGGTTTGTAAATGAGTTTCTGCGTAGACGAACATTCACTTTCAGGGCACAGTTTTGGCAGATTTTTTACACATTTGGAGCAAATGCATAATTCAACAGGAAGAGAAAAAAAAAACAAAGTGCAACAAATAAATAAAAAATAAAGCAAAGTAAAATAATGGATTGCTTCCTGAATGTGAACCACATGTTGTTGCTCCCCTAACATCTGGAGGCAAAATGCAAACGGGAACCGGAGTCGGTCCCTGGAGGGACATAAACAGGGTGTAGAGAAGCTGCTTAAACAACACTGTTTTTCTCCGGCTGAGAGAGGCTACAGGATGCTCATAATTGATGTCAAATGTAGCCGAGACCTCATTATGACATGTTAATAAGTTATCATGACCTTTCTGCTACCATTACAGTGATTACAAGAACACTGATGACTTTTACATGGTTCTTAGGCTGCAGGGGCTGGGAGGAGCTGAGAGCATAATACCAAACATGACAACCTGGAACACTTTTAAAACCCCAAGGTCGTAAGCTTATGGTAGTAATAAAATCAAAATGACCTTAATGCAATGCAATCTATTTGCTGCTGCTGTGTGAAGGCAGAGCAGTGGAGTTGTTAAGACTGCTGACTCAGTAAATCTGCTAGACATTCCAGAGTGTTCTTTCCACAGATGTTCTTGCTTTATAGACAGCGTGCAGCTGCCCCGACACGCTTCTCCCAGAAGCAAGAGAGAGAGAGAGAGCTGAAGGCCCCATACTGGGATCGTACAGCCTGATGAACCTCTGCAACCGACTGATCCTGCTTCACCTTGAAACAAATTAGAGCTGCTCTCTTCCTGGGCGCCGGTCTCGCAAACTCCACGCAGCCCAACAGGAAACCTGTCAGCCCAGAGTTCACACAGCGGGAGACGAGAGAGAAAGATGAGGGGCAGGAGGGGGGAGTACAAACAGACAGTGGGCGGAGTGCAGATGATCCAGTGTCAGAGTTCTGAGCGGAGGGAGGAGGCAGCTCTGACACGTTTCAAGGATGAAGGTTAATGGCACAGGAGACCTCAGAGACGAAGAGAAACAGAGTGGAAACAAAAAAAGAGGGAGAAACGTAGAAGAGAGGGGCAGGACGAGGACGCCATCATCAAAGTTAACTGACACATTGCAAGTCTCCAAAGATAGATCGATGTATTTAACAGAGAGACACGATCTCCTGTCATTTCAATTACAGAGGTTTGGCTTGTTGCCGTTTTATTCTACGCAACAGACGGCAATGAATATCAGTGATCCATTACAAGTGACCGAAACAAACAGCCAACTGGCTAATGGCCTTGAGAATGTGTACTAGTTTGTTTGAGGTTATACAGGCAGTAGTGTCAGCGCCAGGTGAATGTCTGGCAAAATAAACAAGTCAAGACCAACTAACCAGTATAATGATACAGAGAAATACAACATGTGACTAGTTCCTGTCTTTTTCATCCGCGTATCATCACACTGACCTCGTCGTCTTTGCCGAATCAGATAACCGTGAACAAAGAGTGTGTGGCGTCACAAAATGTCACCTCTGTGTCATCACCTTTTTAAGTGTGATCTCATCCTGTCATCACATCGTGGCCTGTTTATTGGCCCGTCATGTAACGGCTCGCAATCCACATATGCAAAATAGTTCTGCCTCACAGCTGCGTACCTTTCCATACAAGGAGAGTCAAGGCCAGAGCCATGAACCACAAAAACACAAAACCTTATGAGGGTGTCTTTGTGTTACCTGGTGTGTATTAACACCCAGAAACATGTTTGAAGCCATCCGTGTTGGTGGGTGAAGCATTTGCAAGTAGCTTATTGTGTACTCTCACATTCACCCTAATTATTGTTCTGTTTTCTTGCAGCACAAACACGTGGCCCAGAAGAATTCATTGCACACACACAGTGATCAAAAACATCTTGGCTCTGGAAGCACAATAACAGTGCAAACCTGTGTAGCAATATGAAACTGAGGATTGGAGAATTAAATATGTATGAGCCTCTGCTCTGTATTATATTTTAACGGTGCTCTTCAGAAGGAATGCCGGTGTTTGTGATGTGCACTAAACCAATCAAAGCCGAACAACAATATGTCAAATATCATTTTACACAAAGTAAGAGGCCGGATTTGGACAGTGGGGCTTTGATCGATGGCAGGCCTTCTTTGAAAACACAACAAGACACATCTGAACATGAGGAGCAATAAATAAGCGCTGAATATATAAACATATATTAAGTAGAAAACAACCAACTGGGGGTGGGTGATAAAAGTTGCTTATATCCTGGGAACTGCCAGCATATGTATGTTATATATATATATAAAGTATGAAACATCAGTGTCATAATTATGTGTCATTGAGCAGAGATGCAAATGAATTCAGACGTTCAGCCAACAGACATTTGATAAAAGGTTTCTGATAGAACATCATGCAAAGGGAGTGTAATAAAAAATAAAAAAAAACACATAAGGTGCCTAAGCCTTATTTATTTCCTAATCCAACATCCAGACAGTGGATTTTCAGTGAGACCAGTCATCTGACAAACAAGGCACAGCACAGCTGGACAGAAGCCAGATGCTGCAGACCACAGATGGTGGAAAAGGAAGTCGAACTACTTTCTCTGACGCAGAGAAGAAACATTTCTTATCCCATCATTGGAGGTAAGAGCTTAATGAGCTCCAGTCCGATTATTTTTGCCTACAATGCCTCATAAGTGCTTTGCTTCTCCAATTTCTAGGCACTTGGAAGGGAAAGGAGAAATCCACCATGTGAGGAAGGGCACAGCCGTGTCATTTTGCCGCGCTGCTCCCCTTCTCAGTCCTTGACAAGCTTAATATGCTGTCACCATGGCAATGCAAGACATTTACCACATTCTCCGTATCAGGGTCCTGGAGGACTCTGCAGAGTGTGGAGTTTTTGTCATTAATGTCTACTGTGGTGAGCCTCGGCTGCTGCAGTTCTGGTGCAGGAAGCCCGCCTTCCATAATGGTCAGGTGGAACAGACAGATGTGAACTGGCAGACGGCGGCGGAGATTAATTTTGTTCTCCAGGTTCTACATCGTGCACCAAATCTACACAACAGCATTTACTGGGGGCCGTTTGTGTTGACTTTGTGCCTTGATGCTCTTCACTTCCGCTTCTGCCTCCCGTCTCAGGCCCAGAGCGGCAGCGAAATACAAGACATCATGGAAGAATGTGGTGAACTCACGTTGCTGCGGTGAAGAGCTTCAAATTGGAAAACAGAGAAAAAGTTGCTCCTCTAAACCTCATATGTCAAAAATGATTTTCTGATAATACTTGACGGCTGCTTCAGGGATTCATTTCTTGGCTTGGTCTGGCTCTTCATTCAGCTTCAGCTCCACACTGGTTTCTCTGGACTTAACTGTGGTCTATCACGCCCACGCTTGGCCAGTCCATCCACCCTGGGTTGCTATGTGAGTCCGCCCAAAGACAAACCACCACAACATCCCTGGACTCACCGCACACACAATAGTGGGCAGAGCCCTGGGTGTTTTATGATGGGCCAGGCACACCACAACTCAGTGTGGTGAGGAAAGATGAAAGACGAGCAGCGGGGGTGGGAAAGCTGAAGTAACACAGCTCCAGTTACAAGAGAAGAGACAGAGGAAACAGTGGATGGTGCTGCACCCTGCTGGCCACAAAAACTAACTTTTACACCAGACTAATTAAAGCAAAACAACTAGAAAATAGAAATACCCAATATTAAAGATGTTCAGAAATGAATACTTGTGAAAATGCTGTGTCAAGTACGCAAAACTATGTACCAATGCAGAAGTTGCTTCTTCTCCACTCAAAACAGCAGCTGCTCTGTAATGCCACTGGCAAGTAGTGTTTTTAGAGCCATGAAGAAGAAGTGATTGCTGACATTTGAGCTCAGCTCCAGAAATTTGGAAATATCTCGCACTAGAAAGTCCCACAAGTAAAACGAGGGGCAGCACATAGGGTTACCAATTACAAGACCAGTGTAATGCAATGAGAGAAATCATCACTTCCATATAGAGTTGGTATCATACAGCTGTTGAAATACATTATATATATAAGTTGTTTGTTTTTTTAATGAACTGGGATCAGATCGGATCGTCATCAGGAAATGTTATTGGAACATCTCGGCACAATACTCACCATCATAGGTGAAGTGGGCTCCGTCCTTAAAGACTACAACCGCAGGAAGCTCTGGCAAAGTTACCGACTGGTTAAAAGACAAAAATAAACATTTACAAACAAGTTCCATGAGTCATTGTCACTGTTTGAATGTGTGTTCACTTGCACAATATAACACATGGATACTGAAGTGGATAAATGATTATATGGTGACAATATGCAGCTTTACCTCAGGCAAGACTTCCTCTGAGGCGGAGAAGAAATAGGTATAGACAATGAGCTCAGAGGCTACATCGTTGTACTTCTCCTGCAAGGACAAACAGGTCGTTCAGCATCTACACAAAGACTTTCAATAAATCAGCATCACAACAGCCGACTCACTACGAGGTGTTAAACACTCCTTCTTTGAAATATGTTACAAGAGCAGCGCCTCTATCACTCATTCAATACACAGTTTTAAAAGTGCTCTGAAGACGCTGGGTGCTTAGGACAAAAGAGCGATAATGGAATATGTCTGCGTGGCGTAAATGTTGCTCACTTTGAGGGGGGACTCCCCGCCGACGTACAGGAAAAGCACATCGTGTCGTTTCATCATGTGATCGAACATCTGCTTGCTCGGAAGTGCTCGGACTGCCGGTCTGGGGGAATAAAATCCACATCGGTTTGTTTATGTCAAATGATTTTTAAAATTTAAAATCGAGACAGCTCACAAGTTACACAGTAATGTCATGACTAGTGTGTGACGTCCATGTGTGTGCTGCTGGCTCCCCCCAGTGGTGATTCCCCAACTTTCCATCCCCGGACTCGGAAATCAGAGCCAAGCGTTTGATGAACCCCTCTGTCACGGATCTAGCTTGATTTCCCTCAAGGAGGAGAAAATCTGTCGGGCTCAGTTGATACAGTGGCTTAAACTGGAGCATCAGAGGCAGAAATCCACTGAGCTATGAAACAAATATGGCCGGCATCAACACAGCTCACTTGGATGTGTCTCGCAGCGCGTGTTCCTGGGAAATAGGGGAAGTTCCACTAATTTGGCAGCGTCATGTCCCTTCTGTTTGAAGTGGTGACTGAACTGAAGTGTGACTTACCCCGACACCCTGTTCGCAAACTCCACAATATCATCTTTTGTCCTTGGTCCCTTGTAATTATAGGCGAGATCACCCTTTAACCTGAGACAGGAAGAAAACAAGAGTGAGAGAGAGGCTGATAATACCACTGTAAAATCATTCAGGACCTTTTATATTTCTCAGCAGTCATTACCTGCAGACTGATGACAGATTCTTGGTTTGATTAATCGTTTAATCAGGCAAATACAAGCAGCTTCCTGTTTCTCAAAGGCAAACATTTGCTGATTTATATTCAACCAGTGGCCACTTTCCTCGTGTCTACCTCTGGGTAGGATCCTATTTCCACCAGAACAACCTGAATTATTCGTAGCCTGGATTTAACAAGGTGCTGGACTCATTCCTTAGAGATTCTCGCCCATTTGTCAGCTGCACATTCATGCAGGGAATTTCCGGTTCCACCACATCCCAAAGGTGCTCTACAGATGTGGTCTCATAGGCTGTGGCATTTAAACTCTGTTCAGCCGGTATTAAGAGGCCTAGTGCACACTAAGAAAGTGTTCCCCCCACACCGTCACACCCACACCAGCTGAAAGGCTTTAGGCAGGTTGGGTCTGAGGATTAATACTATCTGCATGTTGCAGCAGAAGTTGAGACTTCAAGTTTTTCTACAACTGTCCAGTTTTGGTGAGACACCACAGCCTCATCCTCTGTCTCCTCAAAAAGCTCAAAGAATGTTTTTTTCATACTCGACTCAAACACCAAAGACAGTTTCTGAGACACTCAAAGTAACAATCATCAAGTTGAAGTCATTTCGTGCATATTTCTTCCCCTTTCTGATGTTTGGAGTGAAAAACGTCTCTGCTTGTTTCCATGCACGGAGTTCCTGCCACAAAATCTCGACAAGCAGCAGACAGTCACAAATTTTTTTAGCAGAGTTCAATCAATACGTTAGTTGGCCTTTCACAGACATATTGGTTCGTGCGTTTATGTTCGCTGATATGAAAACTTGTTTAAACAAATAAACAATGCAGAAAGGTGTATGTGAAATGTGCATTTATATCGTTACATGTTTATTTCTTTAATTCAACCTCTTCAACTTCGACATCTTCCCCAAAACACCTTAAAAACAAAAAAACAAATGACTTTCTCTAAATGAGTTCTAGCTGAGGAAATTGTCGCAGTCGAGCTCCTATACAACAAGCAGAATGCATTAAGGTTTCTACGGTTGCATCAGCCCACAGGGTTTTATGAACTCAGGGGGAAACAGAACTCTAAATCAAGTCTCCCTCTCTCACTGGGGGAGGCATCTCCATCTCTTCGATGGATGTTTCATCACTTGCTTGGTTTAATGTTATGAACCCTGCCGTGATCCTGTGGCAGTTTCCCAAATGAACGTGATGAAACCAAACGGGGAGCCCATTATGGCAGCGTGAAGATAAATGATTCTGCTGCAGATATATGAAGGAAACTCTGTATGTGTTGTGTGAAATGATCATTTCTCTCAAGTCAACATGAGCTTCGCTGCCGAGCAGCTGGCATCCACCTAAATTCATTAATTTCACAAGACGCAATGTCACTCGCACCTCAACAAACAATTTGTAATAAGTTACAGGAGGAATATTAACTGAAAGAGTTCACAGTTGGAAAAAGAAATCACACAGACTTCAATTGTTGATCCATAAATCACGAGATAAATTGAAGTGAGACACACCTGAGGAAATTTAAACCTGAGCATCGGGAGAATGTAGATTTAAATTGCTTATGTTTATCACAGAAGACATGAATCAATTACAGCATCTGAAAGTGAGAGAGCTTATAAAATTTAAGTTCAGGAGGTGCAAACTCAGTTAGACTCTTAGGTACGCCTTGAGGAACAGCAACAACACCTTAATCCCTCCTGAATTAAGTCACTGAGGAGCATCTCAACAGGCCAAACCTCGAGGGAAACAATACAGCAGAGGGGAGAAGGATCTCCATAATAACACAACACATTAAGTAAAGACACTTGAGGGGATACAAGGAGAAGGGGGCAGAGTAAGAGCTGCAGTAATACACAATACAATATAATGTGAGGTATTACAAAACCTAAATAACAAAATACAACCTCAACAGAGACTCGTAATTCAGAACTGCTTTAATTGTGCGAGCGACGATGTGTATTTGACGCATATGATGTGATATGTATTTTTGAAGAAATCATCTGTACCAAACTTAAAAAGGTGACACTTACAGTTTTATCGTGGGGTAACCACGGACACCGAACTCCGACGCCATTCCTGCAACGTAGACAAAACAATATATCACCCCGAAGGAAAAGTGACGACCATAAATAGTATATATCATAAATAAGGCCAAGAATCAATTCTCATATTTTTACCAGCACTAGGCCTTCACATACAGGATATCGTAAAAAACATTACATTTCTTTATTGTTTACCCACCAGAGTATGCAGTGGCATCCATCTTTCCCACGTGCACCGGCGACCCAGAGCTTTTCAGCTCCACTCCCACCTCGTGCCATACAGGCTCTAGTTTTTTACAGTAACCACACCATGGTGCATAGAACTGAAAATGAGCAGGAGAAGAAAACACTCTTTAGATCGTGTGCAACATTTTATCAAACAATCCTACAAAACAGCTGCAGAGTTTTCTGATGAACCCTTTCATATTCCCCATGATTCATCGGGAATGTTTAAAATATTGATTTGAGCTTTAAAATACGACGTTATGAAGTTACTCATAAGTGACTGGTGATATATAAAGCAACTGCTCGGTGAAGGATTTGACTTCAGACCCTGAGTGTGGTGAAATATTCTGTCATCAATATATTGAAAAGTCAGAGCTCGTTCCTGTAACCCGAACTAGCAGTGGAAGCAGCTTTGGGTGTTTGAGGTAGATTTGCAAATAAGGACCCAGACATCACTCTGTTATAAACCCATCCGAGCCCCCTGGCTTTGCCCGGCATGCATGACTTCTCATTCACTAATCACAAACACAGAGCGCAGTCTGCACACCCTCCGCCGCCCCGCCTTCGTACACCCCAGCCCGACTGCTGCCATTTCCGCAAGGGATGATCTGGACAGTGGTGCACTGGGCATGAAGTAAAGCACAGCTGAATAGAACCAGACGGGATTTTTTTTTGTGTGTGTCTGTGAGTTTGAGGGTGAGTGAGTATGTGTGTGTGTGTGTGTGTGTGTGTGTGTGTGTGTGTGTGTGTGTGTGTGTACGCATCATGTCCGACTTACATCGACCAGCCAGATGTCGTTCACTCTAGTCTCTTTAAATCTGTTGAAAAGAAAAAAAAATAGGATTAAAGGACAGTTTTGATCTTTTACTAGACAAAGTTAATGGTGAGGTTAATACAGATGCATGCTACTTTAAAAAATGATAATGTCACAATTACTGTTTCAGCTATGTGACGGTAAACCACGATTATCCTTTATTCTGCTCATCGATCTATCAATCAATTATTTTGTAAAAAGTCTGAAAATACAGGGAAAAAAGTGTCAATTCAAATTGTCCCGAGTCCTTCGTGACAATGTTTTTAGTATGTTTGCTTAAAAATCCCCCTGAGACATGTTTTAGGACAAATAACAAAAATAAACTAAACCAAAAGCTCAGAGAAACTAGTTAACTTCTTATGTCAAACTGGAAATAGATCATTCTGCACCGTGAAGCTCAAATTCAGGAACTTCAGGACCAAAAGGATTATACGATTATCAAAATAGGTGCAGCTCATTAGTGATTAGTCAAGAAGAAAACACAATCAGAAGTTCCCACAAACACAAATATACACAAGAGACGTAACCTTCAGAGACTTCCCCCCACAGATATCCAATTAAAGGACACCGTTCTTTAGAGATGAAATCCAAACTACCTTCATTTCTGGGTGAACTATCCCTTTGACAATAATCTACCTGTCTCCGTAAAACCACGTAGAAACCTCAGAGAGAGTCTCACGACAGAAACGCACTAAATTAGCTGAACACGTCAACAAAACAACATTATCAGAATCAGAAATACTTTATTAATCCCCTGTAGGGAAATTCAAACGTTACAGAGCCCCTGAGAAAGAGGTGAAAGAGCAAAAGCAGGTATAAACATAGCTATCTAAAAATCAAGTTAGGCTAGAAAGAAATTAAAGATACACATATGTAGAAATAAAGACCGGGTATGTGTAGATTTACATTTGTGCATGAGAATTATTTACAATTGATTGATTTAGAGGAAACAGTTTGTAACGTGTGTCAGTGTGTAAAGTATTTGTACGTGAGTAAATGATAGAGTTATCGTCAGTAATGGTAGAATATGTGAGAAGACATATTGTATATCAAGTCTGTTGTTTTAACCACAGCCCACGATCAGCTGCCACCATCATCATCATCATCATCATCATGGTCCTCCATGATGGATCAGATGAGGTTAATGTCTCAACCTCATCTTTCATGATAAATAAACGGAAACATCCTCTGTACAATATCCCATCATGTCATGTCATCACGTGGTATTTTATAAATCACTCTGTATGATAACCTGCTTCATGGGAAACACATCTGCAGTGAAACAAACTGGATTTATATCCTCATCTTCATCCTCCTCATCATCATCCTCCTCATGTTTGTGTTTCTGCGTTAAGCACATAGATTGAAGAATACGTCACTTACGTATCATCCAGATCCTCAACGAACGCCAGCACCGCAGAGCTGAGGAGGGCCGCTGCGACTGTGACGTGAAGGGAGAGAGAGGGAGAGGGAGACACGGGGAGACAGGAAGAGAGAAGAACACTGAGCTCCGCGATGTGAACAAGACATTTTCATTCTGTTTCCTCCGGAGCCTGGAGCCGCACGACCGCCGGGAGCATCACCGGCCAAACGCCGCGAGCTCCCCCGGCTAACTGAGCGAGCCTGAGCCCGGCCCCGCTCCTCTCACTCTCTCCCCCAACAACAACAACAACAACAACAACAATGGAGGCTCTCCACACCGAACAACAACCGCGGGGGGCTCGGGGGTAAAGGTGGAGGAGAGGACGGAGAAAGTGAACGTACCTCCACACGCCAGAGAAAGTCTCCCCGCTGCCATCGCTCCGTCTGCAGACACAGAGCAGGAAGTGGCGCCGCGGAATCTGACGCGTCTGCGCATGCGCGGGGAGGTCACGCCGCCTCCAGCGTCCGAGCAGCAGCTGCAGGAGTTTTTATTTTATTTTGAAGTGTTCAAGACAAATGTGATTATTATTAGAAATGATCATAAATGATTAGACTGGGTTATTTTTTATTTATTCAATTACTTGATTTGATTTTGTATTTTAATTTGTTTGTTGATGTAAACTAACATTTCTCATCTTTTTCAATATGTTTTGAGTTGGGGGCGGGTACTTTTAGTTTGCATTAACCATTATAACTGTTTCATCAAAAAAATAGATCATCATCGGAAGAAGTGTTACTGAATATTTTCAATGCAAACATGCAGCTTCTTGTAGTAATTTCACTGTAAATTCCTCTATCATACTACAACAACTGCTATTTACTACATTACATCACTTCTCAATCCATTATTGTAGAATGAGAATCACTACTCTCATCCTGTCCACCGGGTGCCCTATGATGGCATACTTTGTTGTACTATAATAAAGTATTAAGTATGTCTATCTGTCTATCTATGTACTTTGTTTTGAGTACTTAATATGTTGTGTACTTATGTGTTCTGTCCACTTATATGTTTACACCGGGGATCAGAGAGAAACAGCATTTCAACCTGTACATGTGGCAGAATTGATGGTAAAGTTCACTTTGATCATTTAATTTAATTAGTGATTTTTTTATTTGGTATTTTTGACTGATACGTCTAAATAAGTAATACGTATTTCTTTATTTCTTACTATGTTCATTTGTCAAATAATAAGATTCATTTAACTGACTGAGATACTAACGGTGACTACAGATACTCACCACAGGGTGGCACTCTACGATTAATTACTTTAACCCACGGGCCAAACCTTTTACTGCTTGTTGACAAGTAGTGAGAATAGTTATTATACCTTCAGAAGTAACAGGGACAGTACTTGTACCCTAGTGTGCTTATATGGTGCATATTCTTGAATCACTTGATGTATAAAATTACTTTTGAAAAGTCAATCTTCAACTCAAAATCAAGTGAAATATTTCCCTTTGAAATAAGGAGACATTAAAGTTTCATAAAATGCAATCTCCCATCAGGCTTTTCACAAAAAACGAAATATTTTATTGAAAACATATTCATTTGTTTGGAGAAGCTTTGAGAATAATAATCTGTATCTAATACCATCTTCATAAATTTAAAGTTATCAAACAAGCGTCTACATAATGAACATTATCTTCAGTCAGTCTTTTTGAAACATTTACACATCAGAACATCACACACTAAAACATACGACACAGAGAATGGTGGCTTCACAGAGTGTGGCTGGAGTTTAGAAACTAAATGTTTTCAAAAATATTCACTAAAACCTGCTTCAACTGGAGCATCCTGTTACTCAGTCCTGTCAGCTGAGTACCATTTTTATCTTAACTTCATGGAAACGGTGGCAGAATATTTATATCACACTGACAGCAGAGGGAGGAGTGTTAATATTCTCTGATCTCTAGATATGAAATATATATAAGAAACTGTGACCTTGGTATGAAAATCTAAATAACAAAAACAGTTTCTTCTTAATCAATGCCTCTGTGTGAGCTGAAACCTTTATTTTCAAAGAATATCTATCAATTCAAGATGTCGTTCTCGGAGAAAAGAAAGAACAAAAAGAGCAAGAAATAGTTTCACACCCTGAGAAAGAGCTGGACTTTCTCACGGGGCGAGTCGTGATCATGACTGTGTTACAAAATAGATTCATGCCGAGGACCGTCCTGTGTGTCCTGTGTGCCAAGATTGTGAGGGTTGAATGCCTTTGTGTTTGGAAGGGTGGAAAACTGGACTCAAGCTGTGAGCCTACATTGTACAGCCACAATGACTTCTGCACTGACAACACAATGAATGCCGATGGGCTTCCATACACTTCACACGACACAGAAATGTAATTTGTACATTTCAGCTGCATTCAGATTCCACGCGATGCTCAGCTGAGCTCCACAGTTTCAGTTACACAAGTGAAAACACTCTTCTTATTGCGCCAGGACCCACAAAACATAGAGAAGACACGGATTTTAATCAAGTCTCTTTTCCTATAGAAAGTACAGCAAGGTTGTTTGTCTTTAGAAAAAGGGAGGACTTGTTCCCCGTTCGCAGAACGAGCTGCAGACTCCCACAGTCAGATATCTGCTGGAACCCACTCACGTCATCCTACAGAGCGGGTCACGTACGACCTCAACTGACCCATAAAACAAAGCGCTCTTTGCCCTATTTCACCAGACGGCAACAGAGATGATTCAGTTATCCACCTAAAGGCGACGCACATTCTTAGATACATGACAATACTGGTCTTTAAACAACAAAATAAGCAACGTAACATGCTACACCATGAACACACATTCAATTTTATTATTCTGAGAAAACGTCTCTAAAAACTCTCGCCAACGTCCAAAAAGGGCAGGATTTAGTTCTCGCTTTGGAAAGAGTGTGTTATAAGAAAATGATAATGGCACTTAATATTTATTTCATGTTCTTTTACTTGACAGTGATCCAAGAACCAAGTGAAACAAAGGCAAGTAAATACAGCTATGAAAATCCTACTATTATTATTATTATTATTATTATTATCATTACTATCTCCTCTACGTCCCTTGAGGGGCATAAGAAGATCTGCTTCCGTCTGGGTCTGTCCTGGGCTTCCTGTTGGGCCACTTCCCATGTCAGACCCATCTCGTTCGGCTCGGCCATCACAGATCTTAGGGCGGTCTCTGGTCCATTCTGTGGAGATGCCCGAACCATTATATCTGCCGACGTCTGATCTCTAGCACCACACTCTGGCTTCGAGTCTTCTTGTAAAGTTCATAATTTCAGATCTTTATAGGCCAGAAGACTTTGCATAGCTACACATTTCATTTTTGCAGATTTAAGTAATTCAAATTATTGAGCTGATTTTTGCCTCGATTCACCTGGATCTTAGGAAACTCTCATGTCAAAGAATCTACTGCATATCACGGCAAGAAAAGAAAAAGAGTTTTAAGCTGGTACATTAAAAAAAACTCCTAAATGCTGGTGGAAACCATAAAGAAAGATGATACACAGTGCTTCATGACAGCTTCCTGTCTTCCCACAGCAAATCAAACAGCAGAGTGGTAACACTGTGGAGAACAGTTTGAAGGAGAGGAAGCAGATGCTTCGCAGATCTGCTCACAGATACTATATATGATTATGGAAGATGTAGAAACAGAAGGAGAGCTGGTAAATTCAGAAAAGTAACAGTGGATGGTTCTCGCCCCCTCGTGGTTGCAGTCACTGGTGTATAAAAATTCTGTTCTTTTAAAGTGGTCATGGGACCTGAGGACAACAACTGTGGCCGCCACAGGTTCCATCACATGATGAACGCCTTCTATAGTCTGAAGACTTTTATATCCTTCTTATTTGAATCTGTTCAAACACTTGCTGTGGACGAGGCACACTGGTGACGTCACATTAATGTTTCGGTGCGTACTGGGCACCTGCCCGACTCTGAAATGGGCTATAAAACTTGAAGCAGCATTAAGTGGAGCAGCTATGTGCAGCATTGCATAGCTTGGATCCATTTAAGAGTCTGAAAGGTCAACATCAACCGTCCACTGTCCTGTTGTGTCAAATCCTCATTCTAGGATGTCAGTCTCAAACGGGACCAGATGGTAGTACGAGAGGTTGGTGACATACGCCTCTGTTTCCTCATCACACACGTCTGATTCCATCGGCAAAAACTCTGTTCCGTCCTCGTACCTGGCAACACAAGGACAGACACATTAGTCCAAGGACAGCATGTAGTCTAACCTAGGAATCAAAAGAGTTTGATTCCCTTTGAGCTAAAACCCTGTGGTAACTCTGCACGTCCTCTTTTTTCAACGCCACAAAACAATTTCAGCTATTTAAGAGAGATGCAAAGTGTTGTTTTGTGTGAATCACCAGGGGGAATGTGTTCCTCATTTATTTCCTACACACACCCAGGGAAGGAAATGGTGCACACAGACACACTTCCTGTGGTGCATTAAGGGGAGGGGGGTGGATGGTCCTGGGGTTGTTTCACATTCAAGGGCTTCTTCACTCAACAAAGCACTTACTGTACACTCAGGAGCAACGAAGGAAATCCTTACATGTGTGCAACACAAGGGGAATTTATGTTATGCTGCAAATAGTTGAACCCCCCTGGGATTGTAGCTCATGATTCGTTTTGGGTGTTAGGGAGTGATCTTCATACGTACGTATGCTCCACAGAGTCTGTGGACGAAGGCCTCTCCTTCTCCTCAGGGATACTGTGATCAAACACGATGGTTTCTGTGTTGGCCAGACAGAATCCATTCGACCGCATGATTTCTGAAAGAGATCACCTGTTAGGTCATTATGACATTAAGGTGACATCATGTCACGATGATCCCTAACGTCTCCCAGCTTTGTGTTGCAAAAGATTCGGCTACGAGACGCGTACCTGATATCTTGATCGGACTCTGAAAGCACGGCTGGATTCTGTGGACTTTGTCATTCCTCAGCACCTGGTCCAGCGGTGACCGCTCGAAGAACGTCAACATCACCTCTGACCTGGAGTACTGCGGAGAGGGGATTAGTTTCTTGTTATTTAGTCTACGAGGAGGAAAGTTCCAACATCTGCCTCTTAGCCCTCAGAAAATAGCCACGGTTAATGCACACAAGCTAATAAAGCTCAGATATGAGATTTGAAGGGTGACCGTTGAATGACCCACCTTGCATGGCATGTTGATGGCATTCTTCAGTAATCGTTCCACCTCATTCAGCTTCTCTTCGATGTCATTCGCCTCTTTGATCTTTACCAGCCCTGAAACAAAAAAAAATGTTTTTCAAATGAACTCGTTTCTTTAATACAAGTGTTGAATTCTGTTTAACACCCCAGCAATTACTGTACATCTTTGTGAAGCTCATAATATCCAGGTTGTGATGTTATCGTGTCACACGTGTAATGGTAAGAAAATATTGTGGACTACACAATGCTGCAATGTGTTTATTTTTACAAAATGACCTCTGCCCACCTCAGACGAAGAGCAACATTGAACTCCAAAAGAAAGTTTAACTAAGAAAGGGCCGCTGCTCCGACCTTTATCAGACTATTATCCGTCCATAGGTCAGGACACACAAGGGCAGACAGGTTTGTGAATGCAGGAGTGTGTTTTATGCAGTAACCTTTTTGTTAACAATGCACCCTGATATTTACTCCAAGTGAAGGGGGGCAAAAATAGACGTATCATTGTCTGCAGAACAAGAACACAGAGCTCAGAGTTCAGTGATGCTGTCAATCTGCAGAGTAAAGTAATGACACAGGGGAGAGAGGCTACATAACAGTGACTGTGATCACAACATGTTAATCCAGCATCAGGCTAGGAATGTAATCATTTACTGCCACACTGACAAAGGGATGTGGTGAGGAAGAAGAATAACGATGACGCCTGCCGCCGCGCTGACAAGAATCTGCCTGATGTACAAAACACTGTTACACACTGGAAGCACTGAGTAAGAGCCCAAAGCAGCACAGTCACCAGCTCATCCATTTATAATGGCCCACACTGATGACATCATACCGGGGGGTGGGGGGGATATGAGGAGTGATCGGGTAGTTACATCATCACTAGGAACCCAGTGACACTCCCACGTTGTCTGAACCTCAAACTTCCTCTGGATCTGGAGAAACTGGAGCTGCTAACAATCACAGAAAGTCTCATCGTCCCACCAGAAACTAATTCAGCCGAATAGTGAGATCTGTCTTCTCTTCTTTCTGGATGAGCTGAAACTTCAGGGGACAATTTTATTCATAATAAAATGATCCAGGCTGTAATTTTATAGATTAGTAAATAAATACCACTATAGAAAAACAAAGTCAAATCAGAAACAGGTTCTGAAATCGTTATGTTAGCATTCAGAATGTGTCTGTGTAAAAGTAGTTTTACTACTTATGTTTACTTGGCTGCACGTCTCCAACCTTTCTGAGGAGAATGACGAAATATACCAACAAGCAAAGGGGAAGTATGTAGTCGTTATTTCTGCAACAGCCTGGTGCAGGTTGCACAAGATTGAATCGCCTTAACCACAATAGATATGGTTTGTGTAGTCAGTTTCTCAACGCATGCATTTCCAATTAGAGGCTGCAGAGTTAACACATAGTTGATGATATCACATTGATGCAAAATGTATTAATCAGCTGAAAGGTTTTGTTATATTCAAACCATTATGGATGAAAGAACCTGGAATAAAAGAGATGTGAGCTTTACACGAGTTCACTAATTAGTTGTGGAAATAGCCAGGAACTCATCTGTGTGTGCACTGATGACTTTGTGTGACTTTGTGTGACTTTGTGTGACTTTGTGTGACTTTGTGTGACTTTGTGTGCAGTCAGTGCCGCAGTGGTTTAACAGTGACACTCCAACTGCACCTATGTGGCACATAGTGAATCACCAAAATACCAACAGACAGACACAGGGGAGGACATTAAAATACACTGCCTCTCAGAATTTTATTCCTGAACCATTGCTCACTGGGGGGGGGGGTTTCTGTGAAAACCAATCAACATTTTTTGTCTTCTCTGTGATTATTCACTTGTTTGGTTTGGTTTTAGAGAGAATTGTCCTCCAGAGGCAACAACGTTTCCTTAACCGCCGTCACTCTCAGTTATGGGTTCAATTGTCTGTACCTCACACAACAAGCCTGTTAAATCTTAACAAAGACAATAATTACACAGATGTCAGATGAAATTTGTAGTGTTTTTTTAAATTACACACTTAAGTTACAAAGTTCTCCGTCAGCGTGCCACGGCGACGAGCCACTCTATTTATTGTATTAGCTGAAATAACACAGTACAAGTGGGTTCACAATCACAACACTGTGTCCAGGTCGTCCTCCAACACATCAAAACTGTCATCAGATTTAAAAGCAGCTATTTCACATCTAACTTCTGATCGAGCACGTCGGCAGCTCAACCCTTTATCATCTCACCGCTGACTCACCGCAGTTTAGTCACTGGGTTATTTCTGGGAGCCTTAGTTAACAAGCAGAGGACATGAAACCTCAGTGAACTGTGTTTATAAGTACCAGTCCTGTCAGTGCGTACGTCAAAATCCAACTACTGCACTTTATTTAACTCTCAGTGTAGTATATTGCCTTTTTAAATCACATAACAATATCAAACATAAATATAAATTTGGTTTATTTGTTTGCAGCAGGGAAAGAACCCATTAGAACAACACTCTTATGTCTTTAGATTTAAAGGCGAGTTGGCTGAGCGACTAATAAAGAACTAATAAACATGTTGGTCAAATCCGTATAAATTACATTAAGACATTTCTGAGTATATTTGATCTAAAATAAAAAAAGGACAAAAGTTACGTATTGTTACTTTAATTGACTTAAGCAACATTAGAATCACATGATCTTCTCCTTTAACAGACGTCTGAATCAGGAATATGATGATTGATAAACGACTGTAACCGTTCCAGAGTCGACTGTTGAGAATTTCTAATGAAAGCAGCAGTGAATAATAACCTGAGTGATTTCAGACACAGCATCTACATTCCTCACCAACAACCAGTTCGCTTGAATGTGAGCAGTCTCTTCCCGTCTGTGTTCACTCTGAGGTCACATGGACGCTGAGTGTTACGAGGCCTTCGCAGACCAGAGCGACTAAATATGGGAAGTTCACTTTCCTCCCAGTCACTGACCCCCCCCCCCCAGCATGACGTAAGTCTGGAGCTCTGCAGGCCGTCCCTGTTGCCTGGGTGCAGCAGAGAAACAGGAAAACACGACCGGAGCGAAGTGGACTGAGAAAGGCCGGGGCTATGTTTTGTCTCAGGACTTTAAATCTGAGTGGCAATTAGAAGGGATGCAAATGAAATATTGAGCAGAGGTAGGAGTTAAGGAAATGCCATCAGGAGAATGTTATTAACCTTGTTTCAATCAATGAACCTGTCAAACCGGCTTAAAGTAACACTGACGTCTGCCTCGGCACCGATATCACAGCTCCATCTATCTTTTAGCTTTAACAAGGATATGACGAGTGAGACACAGTCAAGAAAGAAGTGAAGTGAATCTCTTCCCAAAATGCACTGCACACTGTACTGGCAGCGACGGAGCAGCGAGCTGTCAACAAACCTGTCAAGTGTCTGGACAGGAAGCAAAGCTTTCCAGTCACCACGAAAAAGAGATGTTTCCAAAACATGCATATAGGCTGAGTGTGTAGAGACGAGAAGGGGAAGTGCCAAAGGAGAGGAAGTTCAGCCAAAGCTACTGGCAAACTGAGGGAACCACAGAGCCAGATCCAAACTGTCAGGGCCAAAAGGTTCAACCTATGGAAAGATACAAAGCTCTGCTTCAAACTCTGCGGAAGAGTTCAACCAGACACCACAGCAACTTTCAATCAGATGGTCGATTATTAGGTGAGGTTTATCAGCATAGAGAGGAAAAATAAATGCTTCAGTTTCAGAAGTGTTCATGTTTAAATCAGACTCTGGGGTAAACAGAGCTCACAGCTGGGTTAACGATACATGAGAGCCCTGGACCCGTCTATGAAAAGTATGTTGAATATGTTTTCCCAGTGTGTTTTTTCGTCCCTCACACACTGAGCACCTGCATTAGTCATTATGAATGTTCCTGCTGTGGCATTTGATCAATGCACCGGCCTCAGAACTGGGTTTTTTCCTCAAACAGCCCAGTAACGTCCACCGCTCCAGAACCGAATGATGCAGGGAGTGAATTTCCACATGAAGTTGGTGTTTTTTTATATTTTCCCATGAATCCAGTTTTTGAATCAAAAAAATCTGCTCTTACAGACCCCCCCCCACCCCCCACCGACTCGAAGGTCCTAAATATTGACAAGCGTTAGAAACATGCTGTCAGCAGGTTGGTCTTGTGGTGATGTGATCTGTCTCCTAATGTAACATCCCAACGTGGACTCTGTTAATTATTAAGCCGTCCAAACAGAAGCAAATAAATCCAGGCTCCGAACCTTATTGATTTGATCAGTCCTAAAGTCCTATTGACTGTTTTCATTCTTTCGTTCAGCCTCTTTAAACACCATCAGATCATTTTAAATACTTACACTTCTGACTATGACGCGATTAAACCAAATGCATCCATAGCTACAGTATTTGAAAAAGAAATGTCCTCAGTTGTACATTTAGAAATGATTTTTTTTTGGTTTTTCTCTACACAGCTGTTCTGATCACAGGGTCTAACTGTAATCCACAAAAATGTGAAGTGAAGAAGAAAAACACAACAGCAGCTGTTGTTCTGTCTGAGGCTCGATGTAAACAGGAATATCATTTTGCAGGGGGTTTTCCTGTGAGGGCAGAGATAAAGATTTCCTCTGCAGAATCCACAACTGTTTCTAAAGGAAGTTCGACCACAACGATCCACTGAGTAAAAAAAAAAGGTTTTAAATATAATTGCATTTTTTTAGAGATGTTCTAATACCAATCCTTTCCCGGGCCAATAACGAGCATCGGTCTGATCGTGCTGACCATCGCTGACGTTTTAGCTCAGGCTAACACAAGACCGGAAATCTCCACTCAGCACAACTGCTGTTTTGGAGAAGCTAAGAAAATTGCAGTTTTATCTGTGTGAGACTAAAATACTTCTTTCAGATTAGAACATAGATTTGCGAACTCACCGATTCCTGGCGCCAAACAAAGCGGGCGATGATTTTAGCCCTGAGCTTGTTTTGACATTGGCCACCAGTTACTTTACAAGTGTATTAGATTTGGCTGAAACGCTGTTAACCCCTGAAACTCCAAAAAGTGTTCTGTGGATAATGAGCTGTCCCTTTAGCTTCATGGGTATTTTACTGTAAAATAATCATGAGTGAAAAGGAGAAAACATTTGAAGGGACAGTTGCAGGGGGGCCCCAGCACCTTCTGGCCACATAAGTTGTAGCTGTGCCCCTGGTGATGATTTAAAATGGCTATTTGTGTTTCTGAGTTAGCTGCTTCATCAGCTCTTCTTCATACCTTCTATGAGGGGACACTTGGACAGGTCTCGTCTGTCCTCGGGGAAGGACTCCAGCAGTCTTTTGAAGAGCCGGCCCAGGTCGGAGTAACTGCGGTGCAAGTATAAGATGTTCCTGTCCGACCACTCGGTCCTGATCTCGTAGAACTCCTCTTCCTCGGCCCGCTGGCTGATGATGAGTCTCCGGATCCCGTTGACCCAGCAGTCCCGGACGAACATGTTGACCAGCGACGTCCCTTCGAACACGGCCGATGCCATTCCTCCGGGGCGGCCGTCAGTCCAGCGCGCTGCGGCGGGCCGGCGGCATGAGGACGGCGGGGGAGGAACGCCCGGAGAAGCGGAGAGGACGCGGAGGAAAAGTGGAGAAAAAGACGAGAGAAGTTTTCTGTCCGCTCCCCGCAGACTCAGGAGGATCACTGCGTCTGCTCAGATCATCACAGGCGTCACCTCAACGTGGCATCATGCAGAAAAAAAGACTTTAGACTCAGAGATAACGCCCCTGCAGAAGATATTGATCTGTGTGACACTTTATTTCTCACTCTGCATCCAGAACATTTAAAAAAAAAAAAGGTCCATGTGAGAAGTGTGGCTTCTTAAATCTACAGCATTTCACTCCTCACTGTCTGGATGTTGCTTTTCTTCCAGCCTCAGTTTCCTCCTCCCTCCCTCCCTCCTTCCTTCCTTCCTCCCCTCTTTGACAACAGGGTGTTATTATGCAAAAGGCTGCAAAAACAAACCTTTCCATTTGATTTATCATCAGGGGGAGAAAAAGTTGTTTCACCCATGTTTCTTCTTAAGTTTTGTTTTCCAGAGGTAAAAAAAAAATGATGCTTTTATTTGCCACATGAATAATAAATCATGTTTTTGTACGATGATTACTAAATTTAGATCTGTTTCTTTTAATCTCCCTCTTTGAAAAAAGGATGGATAGATAGATAGAATGTAAAAAAAAAACATGAGATCAAAACTATAGAATATAAATAGAGGAGAGAAAATAGTCTAAATGTCATATTGTTCTTAAATTAAGGTCAGTTATGTTTGAGAGAAGAAGATATCTTATTTGGAATTTTCCTTTCCTGTGCATTTCTGTGCCACGTCTTAAAATGCAGTGAGCTACACTTAATCTTGAAATGAGATGTTTGGAAATAACCACAGGATAAAATTCTTAGAAGAGGCAGCCGAACGTCCCGGAGACTGAAATCCATTAAAATCAATTTGCCTTTGCAGGATTTGTGGTTTCTCTACTCATATATCTCTTGTTTTCACTATTTCACTCAAACGTAAACCACCGTGACTGGAAAAGGAGACGATTTGTTGTGCGTTGCTCCGTTGAGCGGCTCACTTATGTTTCACTGAGTGGAGAGACCAGCATACGAGAGCCTGACAGGAAGTCGTGGCCAAGTCAAGTAATGACGATTCAGCTGTGGGATGATTAACTACTGCACTGTGGGAAAGGGACTGTCTGCAAACAGTTCTGGTAAAAGCAATATATATCAATACAGAGAAGGAAATATCATGTTACTGTAAACACACATACACATACACGAATGTAGCCGATGTGCATTTAAGACCAGAGAACGTGATCGAGCTCCGACGGCCATGTTGCATTTTATGAGACGCAGCAGATGGTAGATTTCAAACTCTGCCTCTCTCTTTGTGCCTTAGTGAGTGTTTCAGTCGTGCTGTGGCAAAGTAAGTGCTCCCATCAAGGGAATGCAGCCAGTCAGGAAAAAATAAAGTTTCAATTTCCCACATTAACCAGTCCAAAGAGATCTCCTCTAACGTTTGACAGTTTTATATTCGGCTGTGTCGTGGCTCCTTGTTGCCGAGAGCTGCAGAGAAGATGCTGCTGTTTGGTTCCAAAGTTCCACGTTGTCAACCACAGATAACGTCTCACTTTAGATGCAGTCAGTGGTTTGAATGCTCCTCTTCTTATGGTGATGACCAGCCCCGACCACAGCGTCATAGGAGAATGAACCCTACTTTAATAGCATAATACAAAATACAAGTTTCAAACAACTGCTGTGGAGCAATGCACAACGACAGGATCACTCATCTCTGTGGTTGTTTACAGCAAGAATGGAATCAGATGACAAATTAGCTCCTTCAGATACCGACCATTAATACGCAGCCCATCATTACAACAGCAGAAATGATACGGTGGAAAGAAAATGACAGTGATGCATATGTCACATGTCATATTCAGCTGCTCAGGTCAACTCTGAATATCGTCCTGTCATGTTGCGGTCGAGGTGTGAGATGCTGAGTCACATGAAGCTTCTACAGCTGCAGAGCTGAGTCACCCTGGAAAGAATGATCTTCACTCGACAAAAAAACCCAGAAAATACTTGACAGCGTGGTACATCTCCCAACTTGTACCACCCCGCCAACCTCAGGGGAGTAGAAGAAGCATTATTTTCTTACACATATTAGAATGATTGTGATAAATATGGGTTAATCTACACGGAGACATGAAGTTGATCATTCAGTTGATGCTGAATGCTGCACATTTCTAAAAGAATAAACGGTTGAAGAATGTTTGTCGTTCATGGAGAAACCAGCAGAGTGTTATTGAAAAGCCCTTCTCCCCCTCGTGTAATCATAGGATCTGAACGTTTTGAGCAGGGCTTCAATCTGCGGTGGGACCACATTCACAGACTCAGCACATTCTGCCTCATTCCAGTGAAACTCCTCTGAAAGACTCAACTTTAAACGGAAAAATACACTTTTGCCCACTCACCCTTAAAAGCCATTTTCATGCAACAGAGGCCAGGACTCTGTGGGAGGGGGGGGGGGATTAAGTGAGCAGGAGCAAATGTTAATGGTTTGTTTGTAGAATAAAAGACAAAGTGAAAGATGAAGGAAGTCCTTATTTTGCAGGGATGATGATTGAGTATCGTAGCCTGTTTTGATTACACCGTGGTTTACTTACAGAGAAGAAATATCTAAACTAAGATATCCTGAAAAGACAGAAATCGTTTTCACCTTGTTTATCTTGTAACCTGGGCGGTGGACCTACAGCACAGTTTTCTAGACTAACATTTGGAGCCTTGATGATCACCCACATAAAGTTTTACAGCTCCGAGGAGGAGAATTAGGCCGTGCACAGCTCCTGTCTTCTAATTTGTCCCTCCCTCACTGAGGCTGCCGCACCCTGAACCTGCACCGATGGCGTTAGCACAGACGTCTCTAATCCAAAAGAATGAAAAGGAAGAGCTGTGGATTCTTTCATTAAAATCCTCTGTGACTCACTTCTCTTCCGTTAAAACATTCATCAGTTTCACCCCCTGACAAGTGCATATGTTTGAGACATACGTCCACAGCCGCCTCTTTACCCTTTTAAATCCTACGTCGGCCCTTGTTTTTTTTTTAGAAAACCAAACATCGGAGGCTCATTAAGCAAAGCTGTTCATAAAAGAGAGAAAAACAGAAAGATGAACACATCTGTCAGAGAACCAAGAACATCTGCGCTGATGGAAGCAGCCGCTCTCTTTTTATTGAGCAGCATTGTGAGCCGTGGCACAGCTTCACTCGGTGGAAGTCATTTGGAGCCATAACTCTGTCCTCGTACGCAGCAGAAGACAAAAGCCAGTGAGCAGTGCAGGGGCCGGGGTGACGGTGGGTTAGAGAGAGGTTTTAACAGGCTCTGTAATGGACTGTGGTTGTCTTCACCGAGCATCTGTTGGACGGGATGTTTTATGGCCCCGTCCTTATTGTGTCTCTGGTGAAGCACGGAGAGACGAGGCTCTGAGAGACGAGGCGGACATTATGTTTGATCGCTTTACTCCCTCATTGTGGAAGTTACAGCTGCAGCAGTCATGACTCGGATCTGCAGGGTGGTTCTGTCAATGTTGATCCAGAAGTAATCACAGTAATCAAGTCCTTGAACCTGAACAACCAAATGTTTTTTTGTCTCTAGGATGAAAAGTAGTACATTCTGAACTGGCTCATCAATGGCAGCATGTGACCTTCATATCACATCTTCACGTAAGGTATTGAAGTAGAAAGTATGACGTCACCTTCCTCCACTGCTCATGTCATAATTACAGCGGCCACTAGAGGTCACCCAACAATGAAACGTAGCTATGGGTCACAATCGTAGACGGATGAAGTTTCTCACGATCCAGAAAAGAAACCACAATATCCTGGAACGCTTCCTTCTTGGAGCAGCAGGAGTGAGATCCCGCGATCCAGCCTCAGCTGTCAATCAGGATGTTTCATCATCAAAGTAAATAAATAAATCATAAAATAATCCATTTCAAACTTCAAAACTTCAACATAATGACCACACAGCATGAAGAATACATACTCGAACTCACAAGATGGAAAAAGTTAAACTTCTGCTGCTCTCAGCACGAAAATCTACTAAAAAAATATTACTTGCAGAACAGACAATGTTCAAATCCATGAAGTTGATGTATTAACTTCTGACAGCTGAGTTAATGCAGTAAAAATAGGTTTCAAAAATGGAAATGCAAAAATAAGCCGTGCGTTGGAGCCCGAGCTCACACAACATTATAAATCATAAACTGTGCGACACACACACACAGTCTCTTCTGCACAGCTCTGTGATTTACTCTGCACACTGGGACACAGGTCTCAACTAATGCAACATCCAACATCTCCACAAGTGACACTTTAATCTGGTGAGACCTCTAACTTGTGAATTCACCGTATAAATCTGAGATGCACTGAACAGCAGCGGGTCCGGACCGTAAGTTACAGCCCCTGGACCGTCTGTGTACCCTGTATATATTTATACCACAGGGTCCCATCAGGCTTTTAGAGATATATAACTTATTCCACAGTCTGAAACAGAATCATATGAAGTTTTTAGTCATTTACTTAGTGAATAAAACACAGACTGATGATGTTAACACCTGCAGGACTGTCGTCTGCCAGATCTGCCGTCCCGTCTGCCAGGATGTCACAATTAAAGATGTTTTATATTCACCCCTCCATTACTTTCACACTGTGAGTGAGCGACCACAGGTGCCTCACAATACCAGGATTTACTGCTCCGTATAAAACTGTCAAGTGCGGATAATGACCTCCCCCCTGAATGCTTCTGCATCCTTGAATGTGACGTGATGAGCTGTGTTGAGAAGCTGCTGCTCACTTGTTATTTTTACTCTATTTTGCAACTTTTTCTCCGTGTAAATCTGTTTTCTAAGTAAATCAGCAAAATCTGATTTACAAAGAAAATGCTATTTTCACTCTTTTCCAATAAACACTCACACCGTGTTGTTTTCCTTTCTAAGAATTAGAATGATAGTGGTCTTGCTTTTTGTTTTGTTTTTTGCATGAGAGCACCAGAGCAGTTCTGACGAGTATCATTGGAATACGACTATGACATCAGAAACCTTATCTGGACCACAGACTGTATATAAAGGTCTGGACCCATGTTCTGAGTAAACACAATAAACCAATGTGCAGTGTGCTGTCTGTACTTTGAGAGTGGTGACCCACTTATTTAAAGTCTGTACTCATCTTATCACAGGTGGAGAACAGACCATAGTCAAGGTTCCTTCAGCAAATTCACTTTAACACAACATAACACTGACACACACACACACACACACACCAGATATTCATCACCTGTGCGTTTCCTCTGCTCCACCCAGTGTTCGAAATACAGTATTGCATGTGGTCGCCTGTAAACAGCAAAAAAAGTAAGATTTAAAAAAGCAGAAACTATTATGACCCCAACAAAGAAGAAACTATAAATATGAGACATTACAGTTTGTTCCAGACAAAACTTTAACTGTTAAATGTGAAATATGGAAATGTTACAGTTGGATTCTTTGGAGCCAGAAG